CTCTCTCTCTTTTCTCTCTCTCTCTCTCTCTCTCTCTCTCTCTCTCTCTCTCTCTCTCTTTCTTCTTTACCATCTTCCCCGGTGCCGGCCCGACGTGGCGTCCCTTAACCCAAACCATTATCCGTATACCGCACGATTATAGGGCAACGGGACCGACAAACAGGCGTGGGCTAAATCCATAGGCGCCTCTAAAAAGGGACGTTTTTAATTCTTACAGAACTTCTTGTTTACATTTAATTCGTTCGAATTGCTATTTTATAGTTGTAACAGCCTAATTTCACAGCTATCATCAGAAAATATCTCAGCGGTGAACATTTAATTGAAATTAATTAAAGTTTTTTGAAGAATCGATCTCGATATTTATTTTCATTCTTAACAAATATTTCTTCCAGTTTTAGGAATGCAAAGTGTGCCAAAAGAATAACCGATATGATCGAAATTTTTCAGGGAAACTAAAAGATTTTGTATATCCAAAAAGATTCTAATTAAATTCATACTTTACAGTCAACATCAGTCAATCATAATCTAATCAAAAATCTTCTTTGCATATCATAAACAGCTAAATTGCTGTACGGAATATACGTTTTAAAATTAAACACGACACAATAATAATCCTTGACGTTTATTTGGAAGAATTGATCGTTAAAATTTTATGACGTTCCTATTCTTCTCATTAATCGACTTTGGAAAGGTGCAAAAACAGCAATGTTTCCGTATGACAAAATGTCATACTATCATTTCATACTATCCGAGTAAAGAGTTTCTGAACGAAAGTTGCGTCGGCTTCCCGAAAATATTACTTTTGGCGCCCATGCGAAGCACCCCCGGCGTAGCCGTTCTCCGTCTTGCATGCGCCAGCACATACGGGTCCTCAACTACGCAAACAAACCCGTGCACACACTCGTGCACCGGCTAACAATCTGCCTTTCCAGCCGCCCGTCGCGTTCCCGGCCCTCGTCGTTTGCAACGCGCTACCAAATCACCGCCAGTACCTTCGGATTCCCGTCAGGCCCTATCTTCGAAGTATTCGAGCCTTAGGCTATTACCCGAGCTTCACTGTATCGTACTTTAACAATAATAAGAAAAAAATGAACACTATAATCTGCCGTTAAAATAAAGGAACGCAATTAACCGTTGGAGTTGCTTTTTTATAGCTGTAGTAGCCTAATTTCATAGCTGTCATCGGAAAGTACCGCGGCTATAAAACATTAAATTTGATGAATTAATTAAAATTAATTAAAGTTAATCGAAGAATAGATTTCGTCTATTTTCAACTTTAACATATTTTTCTTCAATTTCTTTCTAGAATTATTAATTCTAGGTTGTACAACATGAAAGTTTGCCGATATTCAATCAATTGACAATTAATTGTGTTTAGTAAAGTTGATATAAATTATATTTGACATAAAGATATTGTGCTGTTTTATTTTATTCAATAAATGAGCTGTTTTTATTATGGTTAATTTTTCCACAGAAATAAATAGCACTTGCAAAAGAAGTGCAAATTTTTACGTAAATTGGGACATAGTGCAGCTGAGATAAAAATGTTAATTCGGTCTTCAGAGTTTTCTGTTAGCAAAAAAGCTATATAATAATTATATCCCAAAAGAAACAATTCTCCAATCGAGAAACAGTAAGAGCAGGATTTAAACAATTTATGCAAACGCCAAAAATTTAAAAAGAAAAATAATATTAATCGTGATTGAATAAACTTTCTTTTGTCAACGTTTCAATACGACAACTTGATATGATACCACTGATATGGTAATCTAATATTTCGACAATTCTGTCGAGATAAACTTCAAATCGGTCAAGGGATAATATTGCTTTAGATTCAACTTCAACGCACCCTGTGTTATCTACCGCGTTACCTTCGAACGTAACATCGCGCAATTGCAGCTGCGGGGCAGCAGGTGAAGCGCAGGTGAAACACCCACGCCTCAGAGGCCGCCGATAAGGCAGCTCGCGTGATATTCCCTTCTTTTACCTGGCCGCACCTCCGGCCTTACCTCAAGCCGATCTCGTTCTGAATGCATCAACAACGCGATAGCTTATTCCACAGAGTCAGAGTATCGTCCGCTCCGGTCGGCCGCTAACAATTTCCAGACGGATCCGGCGAGAGCGCGTTACGTAACGCAGTCGAGTCCCGCTGGCAAAACCGATAAGATTGCTCCGGCAGATCAGCGCGAAACAGCGCGTAACGTAACGACAACGGCAACGACGACGCCTAAGCCACGAGAATGTACGTGGGCCACGCACAGGCCCGCGCGTCCGCTCGCATTTAGTCCATCGAGAAGCAAAGCGGCGCGCGGACACGCCGACGAGGGCACCGAGCGAACGAGTGAGTGTCGCGATCGTGTCTTCCTGCCGTCGTTCTACGACGATCCTGCTCGGGGAACATGGACGAGCCGCCGGCGGAAACGTATTTGGGCCTAGACTTGAGCACGCAGCAGGTAAAACGCGAAAGCGGACGGCATCGCGATGCGTTTCGAAACGCGGTGAAATAAATAGGCTATGACATATGTAAGACACGAATGTAAAACAACACGTAAAACTTGCAGTGAACGGTGTGTTAACATGTAATCCAAACAAACGTCTAAAAGTTGGAAAACGCATCCTTCAGTCTTGTAGATTCTTCGTAAACATCTTTTGCATTTTAAATTGTGAAATGAATCGTAAAGGTGTAATCATCGCAATAAAGCGTGGCATTGCCGGCGAACTCGCGCATTACAGATGTTTCGGGCTACCACGTGGAATTGCGTCGATCACGCGACGCAACGGTATTGACACAACAACACAGCGCTTTGCACCTTTATTTTAACGATCTCGGAAACCCTACGACTATCCATTTACGCGTGCAAAACGTTGCACATTTGTTTCTGAAAACTATAAATTCTGTTTTTTTTTTAAACTAAATTTTGTAGATTGAAATTGAATAAAATAAAATTGAAGTGAAAACTTTGATGCGACAGAAATGTACAAAAATAATTTTAATATTCGTGTAAATAAATTAAAAGATTTATTGTTTTACGTTAATAATATAAAAAATTGAAGTCACTGAAATTGTATCACTCTGAGAAAAAATCTTTCGTGAGAAGACATCGTGGAAGAATTTGCAATTAGGCTTGATATATTGGCTTGCAGTTGCATGGAATATTCATAATTAAGCCAATGCATGCGATATAAATCATGTTTCCTTGGAATCATGCGGTATCGCACCGGATATTACTGGGAAACAGTAATTAAAACGCGGAATCTAAATACTAATTATTTATGTGAGAATTCATAAAAATGCGTGAAATCTTTTAAAATATATATTTCTTTAAATTTATTTTTATTCGATTTATCTCGATTTTTTCTTTTAATCGCTATACAATTTAATTCTAAACGCTTATTTCATCTTCGACGTTTCTATTCGCACTTTATGAGTGACAGTCTTAAGAAGTATGTTTACGAGTTTTATTAACTGAAATAGAGATAACCCGAAAGGCTTCTCGATGCGCGTGCTAAGCGTTGCAAATTGTGTCAATACGTTGGTTGTTTCGTAAGGTATTCGAGGATCTACGCAGAAAAAAACACGAACACAAAGTTGAAGCGAGACGTCGCCAGGCGCTCTGACGTCTGCGGGTCACTATTATCTAATAGCGCGATAACACGAGCTGTCGGCGAATATGCGCAAAGGAAAGCGTATCTACGAACTGATGGAAATGCAGTGAGACAGAAATATCAAGGCGATAATTAATATCGCGGGGCATGTTGACGTAAAAATGTGCGCACGCGGGAGTCTAATGTCTAAGTACCACGCTGCACCAGCGAGCGATAATATAAATAGCTGCATATTAATATACATCTTTATTATGATAATATTTATCTGAAAATATAATTATAAAACTAAATTTTCAAAAAAATTAGTAGCCACGCTTGTGCACATATGCGTATCGTTATAATGATATAATACCGTTATAAGATTCTATTGCTCTCTCTTGCTGCGTATAAATAACTTTCTAGATAAAAAGAATAAATGAAAAATTATCGTATAATATTTGAATATAATGGCGTGAGCTATTAAAGATAATGTCAGATATTCATGCTAAATTTTTTCTTTATAAGTTTATCTTAGAATTTAGAAAGAAAATAAGTTGGCCACCGTGATATTTGTAAGAATAATTTTTTATATCTCTCTTTAAAAATTTCAAATATTCTTTCAGTTGAAAGCGGTGGTAGTTGACGATAATCTGGCCGTCCTTCACGAGACCAGTGTACAATTCGATAATGATCTACCGGAATTTAGGTACGTTTAACGGGTCTTTGAGCTAAAAAAGGTAATTCTGCATTTTTTTAATACGCGTTGTTGAATGTAATACGCGAATATTTTGACATTGCAGAACTTATGGAGGAATCATACAAAACAAAGAGGAACCGCACGTTGTCGTGGTACCGTCTTTGATGTGGATTAAGGCTTTAGACATGATACTTGATAAATTGCGGGTATGCGGTGTTGATTTTAGCAAGGTAGCAGCCATCTCAGGATGCGCGCAGGTAACGCGTAAATAGGCGACTATATTAAATCCCGATTGATTGAAAAATATATTGGATTGTGCAATAAATAATGTCGGATTTACAAATAAATCTATTTTTTTTTGTCGGACAAAATGCAGTTTGATTAACATGTAATTAAATATTCGTTTATCAAAGATGTAATCAAGTTTTTTGCCCATATCATAATTCTTTAAGCGTGTTGCATAAAAAAACGATAACGCTATCTGTAAGAAAATTCGAAATTATTATTACGCAATCCAATGTTGTGAATACAAGTATGCTGAACATGTAATATACTTCTTTGCATATTTTAATTTTACGATCAGCAACACGGCACGGTTTATTGGGGCAAAGGCAGTCGAAGTCGGTTACAACGTTTGGATCCCATAAAATTTCTGCACGAACAATTCGCCACGTCGTTTTCCGTGACTCATTCGCCCGTGTGGATGGATTCTAGTACGTCAAAAGAATGTAGCGTTTTGGAAGAGATCGTGGGTGGCTCTCATGTAAGCATCGCCGTTTGTCTCTCTTTTTGCGCGGAATAAGGACAGATTATACAAATATACAGGAACCTAGCGGTATATAAATATATATATGTTAAAGTTTCTATAAACGCGTTATTGGCTAACATTAGCTTTCACGCGCAGTTATTTCCGCGATGTAAAATATCTTAAACGACCGACAATTATAACTGCGCGAGGATGAATTGGCTAAATATTTAAAGTAGGTTTAGTATACACAAGAGTCAAGTCGACAATGTTTGCCCACGCGGCGTGTGATTTCAGAAATTAGCGGAAATAACAGGTTCGCGGGCGTACGAGAGATTCTCGGGACCGCAGATAGCGAAAATAGCACGCACGAAGCCGGAAGCCTACTGCAACACTGAGGTATTACCCTACTAAAAACTCGTGGCTTCTCCTTCGAAAAAAATGAGAACGGCAATCGACCGAGGTATTCGTTACGTATGGTTATACAGATTGAACTGTACTACAATTGTGTGTCGCTTCTGGATGTGTTTTTACGAATGGATGTCATTTTACGAAGTGTGTGAACTTGATGCATTTATCGTAACAATTAGTAATCGAGTTTGCATTAACTTGCTCGTTGACTTGCTCGTATGTTTACGATTGATTAATATAGTTTATCTTTCGATGAAAATTACAAATTTTATACTCTCTGCGACGTAATCGCCGTGGTGTGATTTAACGCTTTTAATTATATCTCGATGATCAAAGCTATGCGTCATACGTTTTATGCGTCGTCTGAAACGCGCCTAGGCTAAATTAATTATTTATATGCGTTCTATTTTTTTCAGAGAATCTCATTGGTGAGCAATTTTCTTGCCTCCTTATTCCTGGGCGATTACGCGCCTATCGATTGGTCGGACGGTTCGGGTATGAATCTGTTAAATATTCGTACAAAAGACTGGGATGATCTGCTATTAGAGGTAAAATAATGTATGCGCTTGTAAATATATATATATATATTATTGCATTAGGTTGGACCACATAAAATTGCCGATATTCAATCAGTTGACAATTGACCGTGATTAGTAAAGTTGACATCAAATATATTTTCCATTGTGTTATTAATTAATTACAAAGATATTGCGTTCTTTATTTTTCTTTGTAAATGAGCTGTTTTTACTGGTTTTCGAAGAGGCTTCTGTTAGCGAAAGAGTTATTTAATAATTATTAAAAAAAAAACAAAACATTTTTTAATCGAGAAGCAATAATAGCAGGATTTAAACAATTTATTTTATCTAAAAACGTCAAATTAAAAAAGATATATTATTTAATATTCAGTTGAAAGAAAAACATTAATGCTAATCGTGCATATTTTAATTGAATAAATTTTGTTTTGTCAAAAGCACAGCGTTTTAATACGGAAATTTAATGTGGTACAATCTAATAATATATATTTGATGCTCTATAATGAGTATATTATTTTTGCGCTTATTGTTTGACAGACTTGCGCATCGGGACTGAGAGAGAAATTGGATAAGCCTGTTTCGTCATATAGTAATATCGGTCCTATCTCGCCTTATTTCGTAGAGAGATTCGGGTTCCACGAAGAGTGTAGAATAATCGCATTTACTGGGGACAACTCAGGTTCTTTGGTGGGTATGTAATATCTCATGTACTCTGCGCGATATGTTTCTATCAATATCACGATAATACAACTCTAGATAATTGTTATACTCACGATAAAAATGACGTAGGTATGAGGCTAAAAGAAGGCGATATCGCTTGCAGTTTGGGCACGAGCGATACGTTATTCTTGTGGTTGAACGAACCGAAGACCATAACAGACGGTCACATACTGTGCAATCCAGTAAATGATCAAGCTTACATGGCATTACTTTGGTAAGTGCTTTCTACTACTGTTACGGTAACGATGTAAAAACGACGATAGTTTCGTTTTGCAGCTTTAAGAATGGTTCCCTGACACGCGAGAGAATACGGAACGAGGCTGCGCAGGGCAGCTGGCAAATATTCGACGAACTGTTAGAAAGCACGCCGCGAGGAAACTTCGGCAACTTTGCCTTATACTTCGATACGCAAGAGATTCTGCCTTTCGTCATCGGAGATTATAGATATAATAAAGCGAACGACGAGATCTCTCGATACAGTTCGAAGGAAGTGGAAGTGAGAGCTCTAATCGAAGGCCAATTTGTCGCAAAGAGAGCGTATGCCGAAGACTTGGGATTTGTCATTGGCAAGTAATCTGTAATTTCGTTTTATATTCTGCAATTCACAAAAAAATCAAGCCGTCCTTAGAATATGACGTTTCGATTTTTGCGAACAGTGGTATATTCTTATTTTGTGAGAGTTTCTGAAATTTTTTTTTTATTTCATGCAGGACCTAATACGCGAATAATCGCAACGGGTGGTGCGTCTATAAATAAAGCTATATTACAAGTGCTTTCCGACGTTTTCAATTCACCGGTGTATATCTCGGTAAATATAGGGAGAATAATTTTCGTTATTATTCAGTATAAAAGTATTTCACGTTTATAATCTGATTTTATTATAGGAAGCAGTTAATTCTGCTATGATGGGTGCGGCGTATCAAGCGAAGCATGGTTTGTTGCGGGATAAATGCAGCTTCGACGAAATTACAAATTGCTTGCCCGAACTGACTCTCGTAAGCCAACCTTACGATGATGCCGAATCCGTGAGTATAACAGAGGAAATGAATTTTTGAATATTTTTCATTATCATAATTGATAACGCTATTCAATTCTTTTAGATTTACAAACCTATGACGCTGCGTTACCGCAAAACCGTAGATCAGATATTGAAGAAAAGAAACGAGCAGAAGCATGTGTAAATTTTGTATATAATTTTGCCTTTGCACTGAAACTGTGATGCTGAAAGATCGTCTCCGCGCTCGAATGTCATAGTTTCATTGCAACAATAAAATATTCTAAAGAAAGAGGCCTTATCGCGATATTTTAAAGTAAATACAAAGCGATATTTGTTATGTTTTTTGGCAGGTTAAAGTTTTCTATGCATATATAATTGTAATTGCGTACGTGTGTCATCAGAAAATTATGTACATATTTAAATAATGGATAAATAATTGTATGCAACAAGCTGTCGCAGGTTCCGCTCCATTCGCTTGCAAATTTCGCTTTACAACTATCGAAACCGATCGACAAATTGTATACCTAAAGATATTATCGACTATGCTTTATTAATAGATAGAAATTACTTGATGAATCTTTGTAAATTCAATTTGCCGATCGATTTTTCGCACTTACAATTAGTTACAAGCCTAGTTACGCTCACTGCCGAATAAAAATCAGCTTGTGCCTTCCTTTTTTGAAAATTATGGTTTTATTTCACTAATTTGCTACGTTGTGATATCCGAAATGTAAATATGAGATGAGATATATTTTGTGCTGCATGAAGTATGAATTCGGCAGTGGCTTGTCCAGATAATTGTAAAATTTATGTTAAAATTGCAATCAAAAGCAGCTCTTTTTGCAGAGTGTATTTTATTTAAAACATCTGTTGAACGATGTTAATTTTAAATTTAATTTAATTTAACGATGTTCGACGAAAAAAGAGAATGATTTAATGTATCATAAAAGCAAGTGCTTGATTGCTGTGTAAGCAATTGCATCAATAAATAAAATTCTTTTATCACATCAACAAACTGTTCATCTAAAATTGTATTTTGACAATTTATTTTTGTAATAATAATAAATATTAGCAATAATTCGTACATATATGACTCATTCAAAGTTTAAAATTTTTTACTATTAAGACAATGAGAAATTAATTTTATATTTTATTATTTTTTTGTAAAAATATAAATCGCAGACGAGAATGTGATTGTTAAAGCACAGTTTTTAGCAATTATATGATAAATATTGATGAATAAAAAACCAGCAAATGTAATTATGCAAGTAAAATGAACGAATTCACTAGCCGGTCGTTGTATCCTAGCTAAGTATGTCCTTTCAGCTGTCCTTACAGCTGGACAAATTAATATATATATTTTAGTTATTGTGAATTATTATACATTGTATGTGTATGTTGATTACTGTTTTATTTAATTACGTCCATTATAATTAAAACAGTAGAATAATTTGCATAAATAATTATTTATAAATTGTAATAAATAATGAATGAATGAATGTTTTAATAAATATTTTCAAATATTTCATATAATAAATATTTAACAAAATGCAATAAAAACAAATACAAACTATAATTGTGCATGTGTGTGTTACTACAATTATGTACATTCATCAGAAATGCTCTTAGCAGAAATAAAAGTTTGAAAGAAGAAAATCATGTTACCAATTTCTTCTTGAAACAATAAGCATAATATATGAAAATCTAGAAACAATTATACTCACCAGCTAGTATATTGCAGTTTGCTTTACTCGCTGCGAATTGTGTAGCTGGTCAAACCGCTCTGCGTTCATCAAAGAATTCGAAGAAATTTCACCAATGAGTACTATCGAACATTATTGATTCACGGATTCACATAAAAGGTGTCGATTACACATACACACAACACTATTAACAAAAATTTACACTCATCACACTTTTAACGGGTAAAATTCGCGATTAATCACGCAGCATTTTACGTTCTGCGTTCCCGAAACCGAGGTGTTGCAAGAACAAACTTGCGGAAAACGGCGCGCGTAGCAATTTGAACATTTCGAAATTCATTGGTGTACATCCTTAAATCTATCTAATAAAATCCAATAGTAATTCAGCTCTTATGAAGCATTTTGTTCTATCAAAGGCAACTATTGGTCATATTCACAAAAACGTAACTGTGAGTTATCTACTTGTTTGTAAGAAGAGACATGATTGGTAAATACAGAAGTATGCACCAATCATAGTCAACTGTTACTCAATTATAACCGTGTAGTTTCTAAGCGTACCATTGGTTGCGCCTGAAAAACACAACGTAACCGTTGAGTGATAACCGCTTGTGATTGGTGCATACTTTTAAATCTGCAAGTATGTATAGTATTTTTTCCGGGGTCTTAATATTTTTTATGAATTAATTATTAAGTCAATTATGTAGTTAAGGCATTATATGTAAAATACACATTACAATAATATTTGCTCATATTATTCTTTATCATCGGTTTAGCTGTGCGATTGCTAAAACCTTGAAAAGTTAGGGTTACATAGGAGATTAAAATTAGAATTTTTATAAAATAAGTTAAAATTGACATTGACTTGGCCAAGTTTTAATCTTTATTAATAAATAAAACACAAGTTTCTCTGCAGTTTAATTAAATTTATTATATTGTTATTGAAATGAAAATATAGATGCTCTTTGTGGTTTAATCATTTGATTTATACACTGGTGTATAATCTAGATTTGATTTGGTATTATACAGTCATACACACACATATATTTAATTGTAGATACTTTATATCAAAACGACTCTACAAAACATTTTAAAAATATATTTATATTCGACAACATACATAGCATTCATTTTCATCAATCACTTCAACTTCTCGCATGAATAAAGTAAAAAAAAATTATACTACTTATGTATCATTTTGTAGAAGATAAACCTATATCAAATGTTACTTAATAAAAAATTGACACCTGCGAAAATGATCAAGCAAATAATTTTGCTAAATTTACATGTTTCAGTAATAACATTTCCTTTAGCAAATAGACATTTTCTATATATTTTACAAACTTTAACATTTATAATAAAAACAGCAAATTAAGAATTTATAGCAATCTAAATAATAAAAAATTTCATTATTTAACCTCTTGCCAATTTTTCTACCGCAGCACTGCTTCTTATACTCAAATTTTATAACATTATGTATAAATAAATATAATCGGTATCGTAACAAGAAAATGTACATAATGATGTATGAACATTAATTCATCCATGGAAAATGGTATCTTTCCGCACATTCTGTGCACATATATGTCTTTAACGTTCTGTTACAGCAAACAGAATATCTGCGTACACAGTCATTGAATTAGTATATCGATTTCTTCAGATGGCATAGTTTTATGTCATGCAAGAAATAGTTCTATTACACGACAAAAGTTATTGCCGTTTTAGTGTTCACATTCTCGATTACGGGAACAACTTTTTAAATCCGATAGAGCAACAACGGTGCGTCTCAACATATTGCAGCTGACGGAACAACGACGAGTGATAGAAGACCATCGGTTTTGCCTTCTGTCATCACCATAACGAGACGATGCAACTGAATGATCAGTATTGCACGATGGCGATTCATCGTGAAGTGAGGCGGACGATGTAGTCGTCGACAATGGCAGCAGAGTCGGTATATCCGTTAGGCAAGACTTCGCCGCGTTGTCGAGATAACAGTTACCAACGAACAGAATCGTACGTCCTATGAGCATAAAATTCAACCGACACAGTTCCTGAAACGAGAGAACTTCAGGGTAGCATCATTTTTTAAAGCTTCATCGCTTATCGTCGTCTAACTAAAATTTAACAATGCTGAGAAAGTTTCTTTTAAAATAATTGTACTCACCTGGATGCTACATGGTAAATCCCAGCTACACGGACGACGATCTGAGGTAGAAATCCGTCAGCAATCATTCGTCATATCTAGACAAGTTTTAGCTTCGCTGCGTTCATCAGCCAACGCCTCGAGAATATCCAGTAAAAGTTCGCGGCTTAATTGTTTCAGACTTGGAAGCCTTGCAACCTGAAAAAAAAAAAACGATACTTTGTATGTACATATTTCAACGTTAATAATGTCAACATATATTAAATGCGTAATTCTTACCTTACTAAAATGATGAACTATTAGATTCAGGGCATATTTCTTCATATCAGTAGCTTGCATCCTGTCGGCCGCCTCTAAAATCTGTATAACATTTTCGAAAGTAACGTTCATTTCAAGATTCTGTTTACAGAACGCCTGGAGTCGATTGTTCGTAAAACCATAGAAAACCGGCGCGGTAAACAGATACAATGAGTCCTCAGGAGGCATGGAAACGTCCGCATAATAAATGTACCTCAGCAAGGAGTGGAATGATTCCGATGATGGTATCATTTCGCCGATTTGTATCTATGTAAAAGTTACGTTCATATTATTTTATTCTTTCCTTATTTGTTTAATAATGAATTTCGTGATATCTCAATTTTTTAAATTGCTCAAACTTACATTCACCATATTGTTTTCGGGCATGAAAGACCGAAACATCGCTTCAAAATAACTACATCGCGCCGCGAGGATGGCCTTATGCGCTGGTATCGGTATGCCGTCCAGTATCAGCGTAATGTCGCAAAATTCCCGACCGCTGCTCTTCAAAAACGCTTGCATGTCTTGCTCCAAGCTGGTCCCTAAAACTTTGCGACGTAAGAGACAACTTTGAAAGTATGTGTGTAAGTATGTACAGTAAAACATGACATCTACCAGTGACGGACTCGTATTCGTATTTCGTGAAAGTTCTGGCCTGCGGCATTTGTCGTCGTCTGATGATTTCCACCATGAGAGGCTGATCCAGAGTCTCAAATTCTTGGCTCATCACGATTACATTATAGTTATTTTCTTTCACAACGAAACTAAGGCAAAACTCTTTTATGAAGTATAACTTCAAGTGCACAGCATTGCGCAATGCCTCTAAAACGTTCGCGTGGTTTATAGTCGCCTCGAGGTAATTGATGCACAACTGTTCCAAGCGTTCCATGGTGAATTGCACGGCAAGACGATACACATCCATCATAAGAAGTACAATGTGATTGCTCTGAGGATCTTCAATCTTATCGTCAAACCGCTTGGTAGGATCGATGCGATCGGTGTAAATGTAGTTTAGTACCATCTCAAAAGCCTTTGGTACGGCGTCTTTTAATCTCACCTACAACAATTATATTTATAAAGATACTAAGATGAAACGGAGATGTGCGATATTTTAGTTCTTTGTGTTTTAACTAAATCGTACCTCCAGAAGAGGCAGCTCTTTCATAGACATTTGTTCCGCTTGTTGCTTGTGCTCTCTTTTCTCACGCGCTTGCCGAATACGCGCCCGGAGAAATTGCGAGCGTGCCGCCACCATGGCTATGTGCGCCGGTATCTTAGTGTCCAGCTCGCCAACTATGAATTCCACGTCGCAGAAGAGACGGCTACTCAGCAACTTGCCGAAGTCATCGTGCAACGTGCATTTCGGATACGACGAGAACTGGAAGCGGTACATTTCGGCGGAACGTATGTTGTTGTCCACGGTACCGCCAAAAATAAACATTGCCTCCCCAATCACAGCGGCGGCGTGAAAAAGTCGACCGGATGGTACCTGTACGATAGCACATGTTGTAAAAATACCGTGTATTATTACAGGAAAAAAAAAAGTATCTGCAGACGCAGATTGTCTACCTGACTGTCAGTGGACGGCAAGATGACATTCCACGTTTGCGTATCGAGATCGTAGCAGTGGAGATCATTGGATAAAGCTGAGTCAGCCGCACCGCCGAAGACGTAAAGATGTCGATCGAAGCTGACCATCGTGTGACCGTAACGACGTGCGGGTGGTGGCGGCGCACCACGTAATATATGCTCCGTTGATATACGTGTCCATCTAGGAAGAATAAATTTATTAATTACAAAACTTTCGTGCGAAACTGTGAATTGCGAGATGTGATTTATTGTACAAAATTTACCGTCTCTCCTTAAAATGAAACTGGAAAAGACTGTTGGTTGTCTTAGCGCCGCTTTGACCGCTGAAAACAAACATAGAATCTCGGGCTACCGCGACGGGGAAATTGCAGCACGTTGGTGGACGCTCACCCTCTTGAACAACTTCCTCCCATATTTTGTGATCACCAGGCTAGTGACAGGCATATCGTTATCGAATAAAATTGAAGCGAAACATTCACATTATGATTCTGATTATAAAATTTTAATAATATTCATTATATATTAATAGAAACATTTATCAAGTATAAAACATCCTACCGACAATGATATTGTCCACATATCATTCAATCTGGCATTGCCATCGTAGCCTGCAAATATCCATAATTTATTATCATACACAGCAGCACCATGAGCAGATCTAGGTACCGGAGTCCTATAAATACATTAATGTCTTTGATAGATATATTTAATCTATTCACAATTTAATATTAAAATATTGAACTCATAATTCAGAAATCCATAGAAATACTAAAAAGCAAAAATAAATATCAGACATCGTCGAAAAAGAATCTTTGTGGCATGTAAATATTACTTACAGTCCAATAAATTTCCATTCTGTCCACTGGCCAGTCTGGAAGCGATACTCAAAGAGATCATTTTTATTACTGAGATTAGAATTGGAGTGTATATCTCCAGTATAACCACCAAACACAAACATTGACGAATCGTGTACAACTGCAGAGTGATGATAGCGTGGCGCAGGTGGAGTTCCTGTTGCGAATGCTCTACCCCAAGACTTCTCTTTCACATCACAGCGTAGTAAATCGTTCAACATTGTTTTGCCATTATCACCGCCAAAAACATAAATTGCATCTTTGTAGGCCACGATAGTATGTTTGCTGCGTCTGCAAAAAGTAAGTAATTAATCAGATTATATTGTTAATAGATATTTCTTGCTAAAAATGCATGTCACGCTCAAACCACTAAACATAAAAGCATTAAAATTGTTATTAGATAAATACATTAACGAGGTCCGAAAAGTAATAACTATTCAATTCTAATTAATCTCTTTAATTTACCTGGCACCGACGAATTCGTCGCATTCCGGCATACGTTGCCATCGGTGCACCGTCTCGAACGGTCCGAAATCCAATGTCAGACACTCGGCGGTTGCCATGTTATCCATTTTGGAGTACTCGCGAGACGGTATCTCATTCATTAGGATGGACTACCCTTTCCTTATAACCTATGCGCCCATTCTTGTCGGCATATTTCATTCGCGTGAAACGACGAGGCAAACAGGACAATGAATGTCCGTCGACGTTACGCGTGTCGAGACAATGAAGAGCACATCCGCTTCAAGCCATTGTAGAATTCAAGCGACCGAGATCGCTCCGCGAAACGGAGCGTACAAGTGTCAAAAACATGTGTTACGCGAGATTGAATCAATAACTAGCATCACACACGCCCACCCTAGCGTAAAAAATTTCTTACGTCACTGTTTGCCACCACCACCGCGCACACTGGCATCAATGAAATTTGCATGTAGCTATATGGCTTATTGAAAGAGCGGTCTATATATATCCTTGCCGAGTATTAAATCGACAAATTTCTACGGTAAGAAAAATCTGGCTGTTCGCCGAGTCTGAACCGATTTTGAAAACTTCATATGAGGAAACTGAGAAACTCCTAACAAAAACAGACACTCTCGCAATCATAATTGTTATGCGTATTATTTTTTCCGCAATTGTAATGGTTTTATAATTATTTTTGTAACATTATATATTATATCTTGAAAATCATATTTGACAATTTCTTGTATGTTATATACGTGAATCATTCTAGATATTCTGTAAAATAGAAATTATGATAAAGAAAATCAATGAGACATTTCTTTTTGATATAACAAGATTTTTTTATACAATTTTCTTCTTATGCAATAATAAAATCTTTCACAATTGTTCTAGCTATACGTATAATCTTTACAGAAAAAATATCAGATCTAAGGCAGAGTATGCATTGAAAATCAGTTTTTACAAAAATACTTAACTGGCATATTCTAAAAAATACATTGTTTATAGTAACGGTGACCCTTAGCGAGAAAATATAAAATTAAGGCCATTACCAATTTTATAATTTTAAATAAACCGTACATAAACTGTGTTTTATATATGTGCAAAACTATAAAAATTCTCAATGTGCAATAAAAATAATCAATAAATGTGAAATTATTTACAATAAAAAATTTTTCTCGTTTCCTCTCTGTATTATACATATATTTATCTATTATGAAATTATTTTTTTAAGATTAAAAGCTTAAAAAAGGAATGGGGAGAAGATCGATTACGATTTAACTAATTATTCTTAGGTAAACTGTGAAGTAGAATGGGAACATACTAAAATAGCAGCAATGTAAAAATACATGAGCAGTATTATAATATTAAATAAGGTGTGTGCTTATTTATGCTATAAATAGTATATGATAAAGTGTGCGTAAGAATGAAACAATTGTACTTTTATCTAGTAAAGAAAGTTATCTAATGAATTATTTTAAAATTAAATGAATTATTTTAAAGGAGATGAATATAATTAAAAAATATCATCCGCACATGTCGTCATATAATGTACAATTATCTTTTGGGAAATATCTATCTCGCACCCAAGTGGCAGTGAAAAACTCACAAAGCAATTCAAAGTTATCGCGCGTTATACAAATATTTGAAGAAAAAGTCTTTCTCTCTGATAGTCATTGATTAGATATATATATTTTTTTAGAGGAATATATTCGTAGCTGTGTCCACATGTATCACAAACTCTTCAACTAAAAATCTTTAGTCTAGTAAATGGAAATTCAAGCTTGATCATTGTTAATAGATGCTAGACTAAAGTTAGATGAAGCACTTTGTGCTACAAATAATCATAAGATCCAAATATCAAATACAGAAGTTCAAATTTAATTAATAATACTATGCAACAACACTGTCACTTAGAAATTTCACTATTAGAAAGAATAAATTAAATATAGAATTTAATAACAAATGATTTGTGATGTCGCGCTACATTAAGAAAGCTAGTGTTGTTACAATATTTTGTATATATAAATAATTTTCTAATATAAGCGACAAATGTCATTGGTGTAAATTTGTATTATCTAATTAATTTGATATAATTCTTTTTTTTTATAAATAATCCAATTAAATTAATTTCAATGAAAGTAGAGAAACATTTCAAGCGTAAAAGCTCATAAAATCGCGCATTCATAAATATACATACCACGGTCTCGCTTTGAAGACATATCTTTGTACATAATTCGTCGCATACGTTAAGTTCCTTCTTAGAAGGAAGAAAAATGGATATTTTTTCTACAGTGTAGCAAAATGCTATATAAATAATGAAATGGAAGTGCTATAACGCCAACCATGGATGATGACGAATGGATTCGCGACTTCGATCTCCGTAATCATACGTGACCTCTACACCAATCGGTATATCTTCTTTTGCTGTAAGTACCAGATGTGGCGTTGAACATACCTCTATGATTCGTGCAATTAAATTACCATTTCTTGAATGATTTACCAATCTACCAAGTTTGTCAGTCTCCGCTGTTGCATCAACACTAAAAATTATGTGCATTATAAGCGTTTATACCAATGGTCTATAGATCTTTTCTATTGGTTTCAAATTCAAGTTATCATTTCTGGGTAAATAATAATCTTGATAACACCGGAATTTCCTCACCAATACTGCTGATTACGATGTTGAAAGTAATACATATAGCATCCGGTATTTTGATCTTGCGCATACGCCTTCTCGCGCTCCTTTGCCTTCCCTTGATTGATTAATTCGCCAATGTATTCTACCACAAATTCGCCTTTAGCAAATTGTCGCGTCGTTATGATTCCACGACCTTTGCCCGGAAAATTTTTGATCTGTAATAGAAAGCAGATTGTCATAATTTGTTTATAATATTACTTTCTTCATAAAAATGTGAAGTAACAATTCTGTAGAATTGTAATTATGCAAACCTCTTACCTCTAAGCCTTCCTCCACCTGACAAAGCACCTTATTTTCCAAATCACGTTGTTTCTCTTCCAATACAGCCTTCTTACTTTTTCTGACACTACGACGAACTGGAAAGTAGTCAGTAATCGAATGATTCGTTGCATTCGTACCTGGCAACTTTGATAAACGATGGTTGATGGATTGATTAGAGGCTGCTTTTTTACGTCCACGCGAGGCAGACTTCTTTACAACTTGTAACGGGCTAAGTAATGTAATCACAGATTGCTTTTCATTAATTATAGCTTCCTCATCTAAATCATCTGATGGCATATTGATTCTATGTGGTGTAGATGGTCCATGAATTGGAACGGCCACTGGTGTTTCTACGATTAAAGTTTTTATTATAAACTAAATAATTTTTAAAAAACTAGTTAGAAATTGATTATATATTATGATTTATACCATCGGTTTTAAATTGTTCTACATCAGAGATAATCTCATTTTTCGCTTGAACACATATTGGAACTTGCGCATTTTTAAAAAGATAATGGGTAATCGACATAGGACTTTTTGCTTTTGTAACTTTTGCATATGAATCCTGTAACAAATGAAATAATGCTCTGCAGTGTAATTTGATAATACAAATGTATTTACTAATTTGCAAGAATATCTATATGGTTAAGCGATCAAATTTAAGATATACTAAAAACTTTAGCGCAAGATACTTACTTGTTTATAAGAATGAGCTATGCATGTAGGAGAGTTATATGTTTCTGATGTAGATGATATTTTATCTACCTCTTTTTCGGCAGTATCAAATTTACTTTCTTTTTTCACAGGTGAATTTACATTGCTGTGCACGGGTGAAGATATAGTCTTTGTTACATTTTTTTCTATGCCACGTTTCCGCCTTCCTGCATAAATTAATAGCATTTAATATTTTTTAATTTTGGGAAAACCATAATTTGTAATAATAAATGCGTTACTAAAAAAATAATATTAAAAAATATACAATATAAATATAAAAATATGATATTAATATTAAAAAACAAATTTTGTATATTGTGATTATATCATAAATTAATATTAATACCAATAAAGTACCAAATAAAATTATAAGAAATTAATAATTATAACAAATTAATTATTTTGCTTTATTGCTTACATATTAAAAATATACTAAAATGCAAGAAATAGTTGCTGATTTTATGAATAAAAACTTATAAAGAGCAAAGTTAATTTAAAAACGCAAGAGTTTAAGAAAAATATCACAAATCGATAGATATCACGGTTGAAATTATTTTCACATTTCCATGTAAATCATCATGCAACTGACAATTATCGTACTCCATGTTAGTTTAGAGTAAGTCTAACCGTGTTTTAGATACTTAAAGTCTGCAAAGATCACGAATCTTAAAGTAATAAAACCACTACAATTGATAAAATAGCTGAATAATCCTTGAAAATCCCTAAAGCAATTGTCTCAACATTTAACAAATTGTAAAATCGACACATTGAAATAGTTGATAAACATCGCGCGTCGAAACGAGAAGCAGAGCGTCAATAGATGTCGAGTGGGGGGGCCAGGAGAGAGCGTCTCCGATAGAGTTCAAAATGGAGCAAGAGAGGAGGCAAGATCCACTCAAAAACATAACCTGCACCGGACCGGTGTAAAATGCTGAGTGAAAGTATCGACTCGCAACGTATTCTTACCTTTAACCATATTATTCGCATGATTCTCCACACGACGGATTGTTGCGCGCGTTGTCCTGTGCATGATAAAATGCAATGAAACACATTCAATTACAGCAGAAGCAAAGCAGCGACGATGGCGGACGGTGAAGGGACGCGATAAATCCTTATGAAATCCTTATGTTGCGCTCTTCGTCAGCATGCGAAAGTCACGTAGCCACATCCGCCGTGTTGTTGTACTACTAGCAAGCTATGAACTACATAAGCAAGCCATTCACGAAGGCGGATTATCTTTCGGGCGTACGTCTCACCGAGGTTACAACCAAGTCGGAATGTAACCGAATGAGCGATACGCCGGATGTGTCGCCATATTGAGATCCAAGTCGCTGCACATCATGCACACATACACATACATATACAGAAATACGTTAGACTAATTTTTTATGTATCATGTTTGCTACTTGATTAATTATTGTACAAAAAAGATATATATATAAGGTTAGGTTAGTATATTAGAGGTTATACAATAAAACTTTAAAATTTGTAGACAAATCTTTATGATTATTACTTACCTGTTAATTATAAACAAATATACATGAATAAATAAATTTATAAATAAATAATTAATAATGCATTATTATACAATAAATTATTACAGCGGGAAATAAAATTACCGCTTGACGGAGGTTAGTTTACGTAGCAACCACACTGCAGCGCTGCTGACGGCGCATAGCTTGGATCGATCACAGCGCTCGAGCGATGATGTTATTATTTTTTAGACAGATTTATCAACGATCACGTCGCAGAAAACAAAGTAAGCGCGACTTGTTCTGGTCATTAATGTAACCAGGAATACAGCATTTTGTTTGATGATATGGAATTCTCGATTAAATCGTGTTAATTAATGCTGGCACACCGAATTTGGCCGGTGCGGGTTCTTTTCTTTTTAGCGCGAATACTTTAAATCAACTAACGATCAGCGCTCCAGGAAAAGCGACGTTGCCAAACGTTCGTACGCCGTCGCCGTTTCCCGTTTGTATGTCTATGCGTATATAGACGCATGATATGCAACATGCTATTAAATGAATCAACACCTAGGAGAGAAATCTAGAACTATTTAGTAAGACTGTTGCTCCGACGACAATAAGAGAACATTGACATTATTGACTGGTTTCTATGATTCGGTATAGAACTCTGATCATTTAGCCTATATTGCAGTATTAATTTTACATTCACAAATAATCAAATGCTTTTTGAATATTTATACACATTTACATGCAATAATATTATGTATTTCTGTAAAATATAATTGTTACAGTTATCATTCGTACTTATTTGAAATGTTGTTTCTTGTCACGACTGTAACATTTCGAAGAGGGCGTGAGTGCATGGAAAATTGGAGATTGCGCATGATTTCCATGCACGACTCTAGCAGTCTTTAATAGTATCTCGTCAGTGGTGATACGGAGTTTTGTGTGTCGTCTGGTGTCATTTATACGCTTGTATTGAACGAGTACACGTGCTCGAAAAAACCACGCTTGTGTTAAAACCATCCTTGGAAAGATCGTCGTTCTGCCAACTGCGGTTCAATTGCTCTATCTATTATTGACTATCAGCAGTTCTACGTGCTGCTTCGCTGCTGCAAAACGACGTCTTAAATTTTGGATTCATCTGCTTAAAATGGTATGAGCATGGAATAGTACTTTAACGTTTTTCTTTTGACTAAGTGTTTGAATTATAATGAATACTAAATGCATGATTTAGCTTATAATTCTCTGCTATCGCAAATATTTATTTAAATCGTTTGAAAAAGATGCTTGTTACTCAAAATTTTCACGAACGATCTTGTTTAAAAACTAAGTCTTTCAATTCATGAAAGTATATTTAGTTACGGAAATGCTGATAGATATCGGATTTCCGTAACGATCTCATTTTCATGATTTTTCTCTTTATCTGTCACGTTGCTGATAGCTGAAAAAAATAAAGTTTTATGCAGCCGAGCGCCTATCGGCGCTCTCCTGCGCAGTGATTAGTCGTGAAAACGCGCAATTTTTCGGCTCGCGCGCCCTGCCATGATTCTCTCCTTATTCGCTCCTTTATTCACAGTGATGCGGCAACGGCGCTCGCCCACTAGCGCCGTGTTAACGGGGCGGCGGCGACGCGCAACATCGAGCGCGTGTGTTTTTGTATTCGCGTTGCGATGCAGCGCGATCGGGGCGACGGGACGGGGGCCAATATGGCGGCAGTCGTGCAGCCGAGCGAACGCGCTCTCGAGGTGAACCGCGCGCGCTTACCGACGACAACCGCGTGAAATGGCCCGGCTCGGGCGCGCAGTGCCAATGTCCGTCACGCCTATCTCATAGCTCGCACGAGGCCGTCAGATCGTTACGGAACCGCCGGCGATGCTTGCTTGACGCAACACGCGTTCTTTGATTTATTAACCGGGTCGAAAAAAAACACAGCTCGTACCGTTCGTTTGCTTGCTTGCTCGTTTCAAACCCGCGCATCCTGTCAGTTATAGTAATATTATATCACTGTACTCTCACGGAAGCATCGTCATTCTCTTAATATCATCGCAAGTCTTACACGCGTGAGGTCTCGCATCACTTCGTTTGTCATGGTAGGTTCTTATTCTTAATTCAAGGGAAGCTGAGAGAAAGAGAGACGGAGATATACCTCCAAGTTCTGGGCACGCGCTTCCTACAAGGATACAGCGCGTATTTCACCGTCTGTTCTCCCCGCTTACATGAGGGAAACGGCTAACCTAGCTCTCTCGCATGTACGACGCGTTAGATGTACCGTTTTTTTTTTACTCATTCCAAGCAACAATTAAATATTCATACTTTTCTAATATGTCTTTCACCGCATTATCAGAATTGTAAATCTGATTATTCGAGATGAATATTTGACTTTGAAGTTGTATACATTTACATCTTATGTGTGTTGATACAACATTTAAAATATTGTTTAAACTTGTAGTAGAATACTAATCAAATTTTAATAATTATTGATCTTTGGTATTTATTTTGAATATAATTGTTAAATTATACACAATAATTTTACATTGATAACGGTTTTTTTTGTAGGCAACAAAAAAGTATGATGATGGCGTTAGTGATGATACTAGTGGGAGTGACTTTGATGATGAAGAAGATCCAGATAAAATTGAAGTGCCTGGTAAATCACAAATTTATATCTTATAGATGATATACATATATCTTATTAAAATTAAGAAATATAATTTTTATAAGAATTCTAATTTTGCATAAGATGATGCAATGTTTTGAATAATTAATGTTTTAAGACGTAATATAATAATATATGAAAATATAATATAAATAATTTTTTTAGGAGGAGGTAAAGATCTTGCAACCGCTGCTGGAATTGCAAGTATCAAGGAGGAAAAACCTTCCACAGATTTGCCAACAGATTCTGTGGAAAAAGCACAAGGGGCGTTAAGTGGTAAGTCATGTTTAAAACAATACAATTTTTTTTATTGGTATTTGTAATTTCGTCAAACATTGTTTTTAGTATTAAACCAAAAATTTGGCAATAAAATTCCTGGTGGTTTAGTGACTAAAACAGCAACACCTGGTTATGAAATGGTGCGTGTAGGAGGCTCTCAAGGCAATGCAAATGCACCAGGCTTTGTTAATGCAAATCAATTGAATCAAATGAATCAATTAACTGGTGGATATGGCGGTTTTCCATCTGGTTTAGCTTCTCTTGCAGGATTCAATCCCGCTGCTTTTTTGCAATCAGGTAAGTCTGTTTTTAATCATTTTTCTATTATAACAAATTTTACATAATAGAATTTTCTTTTCTTTTACCTTTATTTTAAAACAATGCTTTTTTATAAAAATATGTATGTATGTTTGTATGAGTTATCTGGGTACATACATCATTTATGTCGAGTCAAATTTTTTTTAATGCTATGATACTTCTTTCAACTTATTTTTGTTATTCTGTATGTTAAATAATTGAATTTAAAAAAGTAACAAAGTTAATATTAAGCTATATCTAAGCTATATTAAGCTATATTGAGCTATATTATAAGCTATATTTAATTATAAAATATAAAAATTTTATTTATACATTGCTTTATTATTTTTGACAAAGTAATTATTAGTAAAATTGCTAAATCATATTAATCATATTAATTACACCATTAATTATTCTAAAATAAATTTTTTTTTAGGCGTGGACATAAACGCTTTGATGGGTAGCTTCATGGGTATGTCTGGAATGAACATGGGAGTTAATCCTTTTGTTCAGCTTCTAAATCAAAGTGGAATGCATCCTGCTAATTGGTCAGGTCTGTCAGATATTCATAATATATCGATAAAAACATTGATATTAAAATAAAAAAAATATTCTGATAGAAATATTTAATCTTAATACTTAATATTATGATAAAAATACTTAGTCTTTAGTGATAAATTAAAAAATTGAGTGAGAAATTTCATTATAGGTAAGTCTGTGCCACAGATGTGGATGAATGCAGGTGATCCGACCAAAATGATGCAACCAAATATACCGGAAGAGGAAGAAGTCGATGACGAAGATATGGGTGTTGCCGAGACTTATGCTGATTACATGCCAACAAAATGTATTGTTGTTCATTTTAATATTTTATTTTACATGCGTGTAGATAGAATTTATAATTTTTGATAATTATAGTGAAGCTTGGGCGAAAGCATCCGGATCCAGTTGTTGAAACAGCGTCCTTATCCAGCGTCGAGCCGACGGATGTTTGGTACAAGGTGTCTATACCAGAGGAGTCAATACGATCTGGTGCGCTCTCTGCCCTCCAACTGGAGTCCATCACATACGCTTCTCAACAGCACGAACACTTGCTGCCGGATGGTACTCGCGCCGGATTTCTGATCGGTGATGGTGCAGGTGTCGGCAAAGGCAGAACTATAGCCGGCATAATATTCGAAAACTATTTGAAAGCTCGAAAACGTGCCATTTGGGTATCAGTGTCGAACGATCTCAAATATGACGCCGAGCGCGATTTGAAAGATATAGGTGCATCCAAAATCGAAGTACGTAATTTATTTGTGTTTAATATATATTGATATTGTGTTCACATTAGAAGAATAAAACCCTTAATTTTGATCATCTGCTACATGTTACACATATTTTAATAATTGAATACAATTATTAAAGAAAAAGTATCATAAATTGTAATGAATAAATCAAATCGCAGGTTCATGCATTGAATAAATTCAAATACGCGAAAATTTCGTCAGCCGTGAACGGCAACGTGAAAAAAGGAGTGATCTTTAGCACATATTCTGCATTAATTGGTGAATCATCGCAAAGTGGCGGAAAATACAAAAGCCGGTTAAAACAGTTGTTGCAATGGTGCGGCGAAGATTTCGATGGTCTGATTATTTTCGATGAGTGTCATCGGGCGAAAAATCTGTGCCCTACTGGAAGTTCAAAACCTACTAAGACAGGTATTAATCGTAGAATAAAATTTTATGTAAAAATTATTTTAAAACGTCTATATAAGTGACTTCATTTTCGCGCGATCGATTATGTGAAACTTCTGCAGGATTAACGGTCTTGGAGATACAAAATAAGCTTCCGAAGGCTAGAGTTGTATATGCCAGTGCCACCGGTGCTTCTGAACCTCGCAACATGGCCTACATGGTACGACTTGGCATGTGGGGCGAAGGTACACCTTTCCCAGAATTCAACGATTTTATCGCCGCCGTGGAGAAACGTGGTGTCGGCGCAATGGAAATTGTTGCTATGGATATGAAGCTGCGTGGCATGTACATTGCTCGGCAATTAAGTTTCCACGGTGTGGCCTTCAAGATTGAAGAAGTGCCTCTCTCCAAGGATTTCACGAAGATTTACGATCATTCAGTGCGACTGGTGAGTTACCTGAAAAAAATAAACTTCTCACACACGAGGCATGCTTGTAAATCTCGCTAATTTTGATACAGTGGGTGCAAGCGATGCAAAGGTTCCAAGAAGCGGCGGAATTGATAGATGCAGAAAACCGCATGAAGAAGACAATGTGGGGCCAGTTCTGGTCGTCGCATCAACGTTTCTTCAAGTATCTCTGTATAGCCGCGAAAGTGAAGCACGCGGTGGCTGTGGCTCGTGAGGCGGTAAAATGCGGCAAATGCGTGGTGATCGGTCTGCAATCCACTGGCGAAGCGCGCACTCTGGAGCAATTGGAACGCGATGACGGTGAACTCAGTGACTTTGTTTCTACCGCAAAGTTAGTAGTATTTTGAACGACGAGAGGGAAAGAGAATTGCGGTAAGTTTATACTACCGATATATCTAATAATAATCTCAATATTTGCAGGGGTGTTTTGCAAACGTTAGTGGAAAAACACTTTCCGGCGCCCGATCGCAATCGTATCCAGCGTCTTCTGGGCTTGGAACCACCTAAGCTCAAGTTAGAGGATTACGATGTGGATGCTGGTGGTTCTGGGGGTAAAAGAAAACCAGTTCGGCAAGCTGCACAACGTGCGTCGAAGAAAGTGCGCGCTTGGTCGTCGGAAGAGGACGAAATATCAGACGAAGACAGAAATGGTGCTCACAGTTCCGGCTCCGAGTTTAAATTAACTGGCAGCGAAAGCGAGGACGATCACCATACCGACGAAGAGAGTAACGTCAGTTCCGATTTTAACCCATTCTTTAGTGACAGCGACTCTGACACTGGTAAATATTAATCCTGCAGATTACTGATTTTGCTCGCAACTTTTTTTTATTTCTGTTAGTTTTTTGAATAATGTATATTTGAAAAATTTTAAAAATTATTTTTTTATACCAATCACTGTGATTGGTGAACCTAACCTATTTGTCTCGAATTAAACTATTTTCTCAATCTTCTTCTTCCTTGATTACTTTCTATCGAACCAAAGAGCGCCTGAAAATCGGGCCTTTTTACTTCGGTTTATTTCTAATATTTTTGGTTTTTTGTTTGTGCTTGCGCATTTTTGGTTCACAGCCTTTTTTTTTATTGATTATTTTGTACATCTTTATAGATCCTTGGGACAGGCGAAAGAAAAAAGGCAAGAAGCAAAAGAAACCCGCGAAAAAGCGTTTGAGTACACAGGATAAGATTCAGTCGATGTTGGTACACAAACAGTCCAGCAACAGAAACAAACGCAACGGCGACACAGCAGTCGGCGGATCCATGAACAGCATGGACGGCGGTGTGCCTCATAATCAGGCACCCCCTAGGGATGCCATTGAAAAAGCTTGTAGCATGAAAGAGCAGTTGTTATTGCAAATAGAAAGTCTTGGCGAGCGATTGCCGCCAAACACACTAGATCAATTGATAGACGAGCTCGGCGGACCCGAGAACGTCGCGGAGATGACAGGTAGAAAGGGTCGCGTCGTGCAAACGGAAGATGGTGCAATACAATATGAATCCAGGTCAGAGGTGGACGTTCCCTTAGAAACCCTTAACTTGACGGAAAAACAGAGGTATGTATTGAAAAGAACCAATATATATCTTCGCGCCTTACTTTTTACTTTGCGTGAGGAATAAAAATGCTATTCACATCAGTCTTTTACGCTTGGATAAACACATTTATTTCGGTCCGATATTTATATCTCATTATTGTGAAATATTTTTAACCAAATGTTCCAATCCACGCTAGGTTTATGGACGGAGAGAAAACCGTAGCGATCATCTCCGAGGCGGCCAGTAGCGGTATCTCGTTACAGAGCGACAGGCGAGCGAGGAATCAAATGCGACGTGTGCATATCACGCTCGAGTTGCCGTGGAGCGCGGACAGAGCGATACAGCAGTTCGGACGAACGCATCGATCGAATCAGGTGAACGCGCCGGAGTATATATTTCTTATATCGGATCTGGCCGGAGAAAGGCGATTCGCTTCGATCGTCGCGAAGCGTCTGGAGAGCCTGGGCGCGTTAACGCACGGTGATCGTCGTGCGACGGAAACTCGAGATCTCTCGCAGTTCAATATCGACAACAAGTACGGTCGCGCGGCGCTGGAAGCGACAATGAAGACCATAATGGGGTTTGTACATCATTTGAAACGGTCGAAAGCTATCGATGCGAAATATAAACATTTCATTCGATTTCCAGATACGAAGCGCCGTTGGTGCCGCCGCCGCAGGACTATCGCGGTGATTTCTTCAAGGACGTGGCCGATGCGCTGGTGGGCGTCGGTTTGATTTGCAACAGCGAGAATACACCGGGCGTGCTCACTCTTGATAAGGATTATAATAACATGTCAAAATTCTTGAATCGCATCCTCGGCATGCCGGTCGATTTGCAGAATCGTCTGTTCAAGTATTTCACCGATACGCTCAACGCCATCATCACGCAAGCCAAAAAGACTGGTCGCTTCGACATGGGTATCCTTGATCTCGGTACGTCGGGAGAGAACGTCCACAGAGTGAAACTATATCGGTTCCTGCGGAAGCACGCGACGGGCAAGGCGCCGACGGAACTGCACGTAGTTCATGTCGAACGCGGTATGAGCTGGGCTGAAGCCACGGGCAAGTGCTCAGAGCTTACCGGATCCAAGGAGGGCTTCTATTTGAGCCACCAGATCCGTAATGGCAAGCAGACGGCCATTCTCGCAATCGCAGTGGACGGCGGCAAGAAGAAAACTGAGAGCAAGAAGGATCAGCTTTATATGGTGCACAGGTACAGTCATCCAAAATCCCCAGTAATTTAAATTACTAAAAACAGAAGAGAGGAAAAGAAAAAAAATATTAATTTGCATATTATATAATTTTTTATATTGGAGGTTAATCATTGTCCATTATTAGACCCAACACGGGACTTCAGCTACGACAGGAAAGCCTAGGTGAATTAGAGAAAAAATACAAGAAGGTGAGTGCGGATGAGGCGGAGCCACACTGGACGCAGCAGTACGAGGCCTCCGTGAATACGTGTTCGCACGCGTATTGGAGCGGCAATTGTAAAAACACTACCCTCGGGATAGACTGCGAAGTGGGGCTGAGAAGACGTTCCTATAATGTATTAGCCGGTTCGGTTCTGAGCGTTTGGAGCCGCGTGGAGAATGTGCTCGCTGCACGATCAGGACATAATTCTAAGATGCAGGTTGTACGGTTGCGGACGGGTAAGTTGAGCATTCTTCAGAATTCTATCTAATTCGTCGAATCTGAAAATTGTAATCTATTTTCGTCTGTGACAGACGAAGGGCTGAAGATCGTCGGCACGCTTATTCCAAAGTCTTGCATGGAAGCGTTGCGTCAAGCACTTTCCTCTGACGCAGAGAACACGGAGGAACTGGCGTTGTAAACATTTTGAGTCGTATCGAAAGTAAGATATGATGGAAAATTCATAAATATATTTATAAGTGTATATAAATACGTATATATTGTTTTGTACATATAAAATATTACGTATAATACTTAATTTAAATTAATGTCTGCAAAGTTACTTACTCATTTCAGACGTGAATAGGACCAAGCAAGGCTATCGACATAGCGTAATACGCCGCGACTGTAGAAGAAACCCCCTCTTTTTCCAAAACTTTTCGTTGGAATGCAAGGAGAGGAGCGAATTACGTATGTACGCATTACATATATATTACTTGCCTGGAACCGTTGACGCGCCGCAAAGTAGATTCCAAATTGAATCTATTAGTTAGCAAGGTATGTTATTTTACTGTGTCCCACGTGAAGAGCAGATGCAAACATGTTCGATTACAAAAGATCAACACAACCAAGACCACAATTTTCTTATTATTATTTTTTTTTCGTCATATCTATACAATTTCCACGAGATTGTAGCATTCATTCACCGCAATGTAGATTTCTAAGTAGTTTGACCATTTCCCCTGCCCTTTTATCATTTCGTATAATTATTAAGCTCCGTCGGGTATAATAAGACGTTTACTTTTTACATTGTCGCCATTGTAATATTTTTGCCCATGAGATTCTAACGGACATAGGGTATGGCACACAGTAGCGAATACAGACTCGATTTATCTCGGCTGTGCCCCGAAAGAAGCGTGAACAAAGAATGCGTAGAGGAACGGCAGAGCAGCATTTTCTGCATGGAAAATGTGAAATGTAATCGACAGTCCGTATAATTTAAGATGCGTTCAATTTATTTAAGCTAGCCCGTATCCCGCGAACTTAAACACAGTGTATCCGATCAGCATCGATTGCTGCTTTCGAAACAGTGCCAGTAGATCCGATTGATTGTGATAATAATTATCGACAAGACGAATAGCATTAACAAGAAATAGCGGGACGATCGCGGCAATCGATTCTCTTCGGACGAGTACAGATGTATACGCGAATGCTTTGGTTTTCCTTCGATCGTTTGACCGACTAGACGACGAGGAGAAAGGCGTTACATACATACACACATGCTACTGCTACTGTTACTATAGCTACCATTATTACTATAAATTACTGCTAATACTACATTAGTGCTAGTACTACCGTTAATAAAATACTATTAATATTATCCAGATGTGGGGAGACGAGGTAATTACACACACATACACACACACAACACACAGTGCTTATGCCTTTTCCGATCTTGCTATAGAATTTAAGAAGAAACGCGACTTACTGTACTAAAGTGCCAAGTTAGACGTTCAATTTCTTCCTTTCATCCTTTTAGTTTAGTTTTTTTCGTTTTTTATTATTGTGACGGAACACGAATTGAACGTAAAGAAAATGAATTTTGATCGATATATTATGTATTATAAAATACATTCCCCGACGGACAACTATATTCTAATTTTTATACAAATTAACGATTAGTTTGATCAGAGATAAAATCATTTTTATATATATATAGAGAGAATAAGCCTTTCAAATTAAAATTTTATTTCCTTGAATAAATGATAAATGTGTTTCCTTTCGCTCTTTTATATCAACTTGTAATCATTTAAAAGTTCATCTTTTCTTATATGATTTTACAAAATTAAAGCGAAGTATGATATTAATATTTAATACTTCCGCTGTATACCTCAATGATAAAACGCAGCTTTAATAAAATATTTTTCGAAACTGGCCGTGACAACACCTCGTCTCTCGACGATCATCACTCTAACTAATTAGCCTTAAAATAAAATAAAAAAATGAAAAAAGAATTAGATCGGTATAACGCATACAGCAGATATATTTATATTCAAATGCATACACTTAGTAACCAGTGCGGCCTGCATGTATAATGGATGTAGATGTTTGTTCGTTTGTGCGCCTGAAGGAATTTTCGAACGAGTGTCGAGTTTCGAAGAACGAATGGGTGATATATAAGCCTTGCGATCCATCTTCTCTAATAATAATAAAACTTTCAAGATGCAGATTTAGAGCGTAGAGAACTGTCGGAGCAGTCGATAGAATCAATGACCGTGATTAGAGATCCCTTATTTTAGTGATCTAACTTTTACGAGCGATGCGTCTCTGTGTGACGAGAGAACGAGAGATTCATCGTCATCCACCTGTTTCCACGGTTATCCTTACCGCATGGAATCGTTTCGCGATACATATGCAATAGAGAAACCATCGCATCTTTACGGATAACAACTATATATTGCATTTATAAAGGAGTTTAAGAAGAGAGAAGCAACATCCGATTGTAAAATACTTGTAACGTGATTATAGCGAATATTGTCGATCTACTCTTTTTCACGATTGGAGAAAAGAAGAGAGCAAGGAGAATGCGATATTTAACATTGGAAGAAGATTTATCGTAGGCTTAATTCCTTTAGCTATTATCGATTATTCGTAAAGCGTGATATTATAATTATTATTAACGTTACTTTAACGAAACGCGTAAGCAAAATGTACCGAAGCACGAAAAGCAAGTATAGATACGATTTGAGAAGATGCGTTTCATGCGTTCTGATATTGCGATTCGCAATACAAATTAATTCGGTAGTGGAACTTAAATATTAAAAGTCACGATAATTGTACGTTGACGAAGTTGAAACGTAATGTAAATATATGCACTGAAATCTGTAAGGCGAAACTTTAGGACATATGAAAATATGCGTTTTGTATTTCATACTTTTACAATTATTTCGCTTGAGTTCCTACGTTGCAGAAGCGCGACTTATAAATGTGGTATTTAGTGCGCGTGGAAACAGGCGTTGCGCTTTCTAGTGAAACAATTATTCCTTTCGTAATGTGCTGTGTTTTCATGGACGACTTACACGATTGAACGCGAGTGTGCTGCGTGTATATATACATGTATAAATGTCTCTGTGTATGTAAAACTAATAATTCTTATCCGAAACGACGATGATATATCCACCTCTTCGCGCCCAAGAATTCTTTCGAAGTCCCATTCTGCATTGGGTATAATTGATTGATCAGTGCTAAACATCCCTTTTGCGAAAAATCAGTTTGATGACTATTTGTTTCTTTCTTATTGTTCAATATATATTGCGCAATGGCAGAGGATAAAAGGCATTGGTTTATACGAAACACGTTGATTTTACCGCCAAGTGTCATTCTACCGAGGATTGTCTAAAACCTACTTTTAAAAATAAAAAAAAGATTAATCAAGGAAAAGCGAGAGATATAAATGAGCCAGAATTTTTCCTTCCTGCATGATACGTCCCTGAAAAGTTGAGAGGAAACGTTGAATTAAGCAACGTAATTAAAAAGAGATTATTTTATTTTAACATACTATATTTATTAAGTTAATGTGTCGAATGTGGATCGCAGCTCTGTTTACATTCCACACAGTACATTCTTGTACTTCGGTATAAAAAAACTGTACAGATTAACTTCTCATCGCGCGTTTGAATGCGAGTGGATAATAAGTCACCATTCACGCGATATACGCACATATACAATCTTGCACCCTACGTATAAATTTCCTACGTTTTATTAGATCTCAGTAATACCTCTTGAATGTATGTATATTCCGTTGTAAAATGATACACTATCTGGAAATGATGGAAGTATCATAGGGGTGTTTAATGAAAGGCGTATAAGAGCATCAAAAACGTGCAAACTCCAATAACAAGGCCGAGTATAACAGAATCTCTTCTTTTACGCAGATTTATCCTCTGCAGTAAACTGTTGACCGCTGGAAATCGATTAGAGATATCGTTGAATCTAGTTCTTATACGTTTGAACGCCTGTCTTTGGGTCATCAAGTGATCCCGCGTCTCCATCGCTATGCTTATTTGATCGTTGATTAATCGATCAGAACTGAAAAAAAAGACGGTAATTATAAAATATGCATTTCAATCGTTTATCACAGCATTAATAGAACAAAACCTACTTGTGAATATGTTGATTTTCTTTCAGATACATTTCACGTCGATTCAATCCACCTGCACTTTTATAATTGCTGTAAAAAATGAAAATACATAAGATTGATTTACTCTTAACTGACACATTGATACCAAATGTGTCAGGATCTAATATTGCTACACAGGATATATTTAATTGAGAGTGATAACAGACAATTGTACATACTCTATTTCTTTGCGGACACTGCCTAGAAGATCCTCTCGATCTTTCCTAGCTGTAAAGTTATTTCTAATCTTGTTGAATTCCAATTTATAATCTTTTAATATCTCCTTATGACGTTGCATCGTATGCAACATAGCCGCACCATTTGGTTGTAGTTCACTCATCCTTTCGTTTATAGAGAATAACTATCAATTGTTACATTTAATTAATAAATTTGTTTATTTACAGATATATGGAAAAGGAGAAAAAAGAAACAACTTACCTTGGAAAGCAATGTCTCTAACTCTGATGCCATGTTCTCAAATACTTGTTCCTCATCCAAAAGAGGAACTTCATCTGCGTTAACATGTCTAACACCTGTATTTATGCCCAGCTTACTGAATGCCACCAGCTTCGCATCGATTTCATTTTCCAGATGTCTAGCCTGCTTCCTCAGATCTGCAACATCCATCAATCTTACATGAGTCAGTACAGAATTTGTTCTTTTCACTCTCGTTCAAAGTGCATTTACAGTAAAACACAAGCATATGCTTCTATAAATTTTACTCATGTAAAATACATCACAATTTGCAAGGAGAAACGAAATAATAAGTGCAACAAGTGCAATTGGAGAAAAATAACGTCACGAATAGCATTGCGATATTATTGAATTAACGTAACGGAATATGTGACGTTGCAAATGTATTGGAGCAACACTCAGAGATAACGTCAGCGTGTAGAAGACGTGCAGGAGATGTCCTGAATTTCCGAGACATCCTTCGAGAACATTTTCGCGATATGACACTCCGCACGTATGACAATGTAAACAAAGATTGAGATTTCGCTATATGCACGCATATAGGTTCCGTTGCATCCTTATCAAATGTGTACCTTCCCAGTCGATTGCGCCCAGCGAGCTAGCCATTTATTACGAATGATTGCAAATCGCAAATCCACTTCCAGGCCTATCACATAACACTTTTCCTCGTCCTTCCACCGGGACAGTTTTAATAAATGGGGAAACGCGACAACCAAGGCACAGTGTAGTAGCGCAATTCTCTGTCACTCTGTCGGCATCCCCGACGTTGGTGTTTGACAAAATCAAAATGCGCAAGCGCGACGTAAATAAGATGGCTCTGCAAAAAACATCTGTACATGTGTGTACATCCTGAGCGGTACTGTTTAAAGATGGTATGGTTTACGATTACGATTTTCACACCTTTTTTCAGTAACTTTTATTACGTTGCTTCGTACTGTCCGTAAGCAACACAATTAGTGGGTGTTATTCCTCCGCATATTCGTAAACATAGCCAGCAAATCTGGATGAAACCAGGGAGAAGATGATCGCCGCCTCAGAACCGGTGGTAAAGTGGATTATTAATTTATATTTATTTAATGGATCACGTAATTAAAATAATTAAGAAAATACTATATGCAATAAATATAAGTAAAAGCATTCGCTTCAAAGCAATATCGTCGCGTAACATAAAGACATCTGATTACTAACCTCCTTGAATTCTAGTTTCTTTCAAGAAAGGATTCAATAAAGATTATTTTCTCTGATATTCAGTAGCATTTATGTAAAATAATTAACTTATAATATAATAATCACTTGATATTTTGCCTTTTTAAGGAATATACGCCAGGTGGCCGACAAATAATCCTAAAGCATCCTGGATCTTTGATCAGTAAACAATTATCCCATAATCGAACAACTAGTGGAGAAAATATTCTATTAAAAAGATTCAGTGAAGTAAACATATCGGAAAAGTCTCCCGTAAGTTTTTGGAATGAATAGACATGAATAAAGAAGTGAAATTGGAAGACAAAGAAAGTTATAATTGACAGGAGATATGATTTTGAATATTGCTATACTACTTTAAAATGTGTTTCTGTATTCTCATTGGAATTATATACATATTATTTAAATATCACTATGTCAAAAAAATTAAATGTAGAAAATTAAGTTAAATTTAATCAAGATTATATTTTCTGATGCTTGTCTTCTCTTTTGTACTGAAATAAAAAATAATGAAAATTTATTCTAGAAGGAGACATGGATGGTACGCAGTAATAAGACATGTGGAGAAGAAGAATTATATTATTCGGGTAAAGTAGCTGTTCACTGTAAGGGGAATCAAGCTACAAGTACTCGAGTACTCGAAGCAACCTACACATGTGAAACAAATATTAAGCATGCACTTTGGTGTACGTTTCACTCTAGTATTCCAGGTCATTTAACTAATAAGAACAAAGAATATGAGAATGAGAAGTCAATTGGCAAACCTGTAAAGTGTATCTGCTTGCTGGACTCGTATTCACTCAAGGTTTTTACGGAAAATGGCGAAGATTATATTTCTACCTTACAATTTCAGGTAAAATTTGCATAATCTTTCTGCATGCTGTGTGATAAATTTATTAAGCACTATATGAATTAATGATTCATAAGGATTAATTTATCACAATTTTAATAACAGGTTTCTGCTGTATGGCCGACAAAATATGGTATTATACTCGAAAAATGTCCAGTGTCAATTACAGATTCAAGGTATGTATATTTTATTCAACTGAACAATGTAATTAAAATCCCAAAATTTAATATGATATAAAGTTTTAATCATAGCAATTCACGTTCTTTTATTTTTAGATACATGTCGTTCGAAAACAGCAGATTACCAGTGCAAACTGATAATTTACCGGTAGCCTTCTCGCTAATGCATCCATTAGATGAAATTTGCCCTTTGCTTATTAAGCATGGTAAAATTATTTAAAATTAAGTGGAAAAATAATATATTGTATACACTAACTAAATTAATGTTTCAGGATCTGTGTCTTATATGAATGAATCGAGTCAGCAGATTATATTTACCAGTTCGGAACCATCCTTGGCTGTGATATATGATACAAAGTCTGGCTTACATTCGGTTTACAAGATCCGCAAAGCGTTAGCCGAAGAATGCCAAATAGTTTGTGGAAATGACACGACCAGCTTAATCAGTCATTCAACTAATATGTCGCCATTAAATGTTGGAAGCAATTTTTCCGGCAATAAGAGCAATAAAGGGCATCTAAGTCCTTTTCTTCTTGGTAAGAAAATATATCTATATATCTACAAGCTTGTATAATCAGATGTACATTAATAGCAAAGATTAATGTAGGTAAATGGAACGCGTTTATTGCAGGAGTTACGAATTTACAAATGAGCAGCACGGGTATAGGACTGGGTCTGTCCACCCCATTTGGATCGCGTAATAGCTCTTACAGTACCGCTTCCGGCGGACCGTCACCTCAGCAACAACAATACTCACGTTCGCAAAGCTCGATGGCTACCATTTCTCGCTGTCAATCACCTACGCATTCAGCGGTCTTGTCTCCTCTGCTCGGTGCAGGAAGCTCAAATATCTATCACAGCAGATTACACCAGACTGTCATGGTGACTGCCTTCAGCCAGATGCAACAAGGCGCAACCTCTAATTACAACAGTGTTCAGTTGAAAGATATTGCAACTGCGGGCAGACCTCTGTATCCTGAGATTTGTCTCGAGCACGTATGGACGGAAAACATCGCTGCGTCAAAGTAAGTGATGGATTTATGTTTATATGTCATTTATGCGTGCACTTTTTATGCTTTGAAAATTAATTTAAAGTAATAGTTTAAAAAAAAAATTTTAATCTATAATTTATAATCTATAATCCGTTTATGAGTGAATTTCTCATTTTACTGTCGATGTAATCAGAATTCTTTCCCACCGTTTATCGCGCGTATGTACCTCTAACTTCCTTTTCCAGATATCCTCTATGTCTCCAATTCCTTTGGATTCTAGGTAGAAAGTAAGTTTAAATATGCTGTATCGTTACGATGTATATTGATCCTTTCTTTTCTCAATTTTTTCAGAGATATTTGCGGTCGCGCATCGAAAGTTCTGTTAACATCGGACTTCGTTGGACAAAATTATTTAGGTTATTTGATTCCAAATCGTTCACAGCTATTTTTAGTGAGATTAGAGAAGACTAATAAACAACAACAGATTATTTTTGGGATGGTGACGACCATTACAGCTAAAGACGTTGTTAGTTTGCCGGTCAGTATATATTGATTTAAGAAAATAGAAAAAAATAGAAAAATGTATGCATGCATTGTTTAAAATGATTTGTCACCTTTATAAAGAATTAATTTTTTTTTTCAGAATTTGCAAATGATAGCAATTGTAGATTTGTCAAATGGTATAACGTTATACACAGGAATAACATGTGTGGGGAAATTGCATATATCTGGCATACTTTCGAATTTTACGGGCAGTAGTTACTTTTTATCAAACAATAATCCCAAGCTTGGATCTCCATTTCCAAAACGAAGTTCCTTGATTTCTCAAAATTGTTCAGCTGCAAGTGAAATTAAATTTGAAGAAGCTTTACATTTGCTAAGTCCTGTAGGCGGTAATTGTGCTCGACCGCCGATACTCTTGGAAAACTCCTTGCTAGACACAAATCTTGGATTAAAAGAAGCCGTAGGCAATGAGATAACTCTGGAATGCGGAAATAAACAATATTTTCGTATAACATTACCCATATCCAGCACATCTCCTTTAGGTGAGTGTCATTTTATTTGATTCTTGACAATCTGAAATTTTATAATGAATTAATGTTGAAAAATTTACATATTACATATTTCTTTGCAGTTACAAAATGTTTGCAAACATTGCGGAGTGTGTTGCAAAAAGATTTAGCCATGCAATTGTTGGTTAAATGGTATGGGGCTAGAAACGCGCCAGGCCCACAAGACTGTTCACCGGCACAAGAATGGGATCTCTTCCTCGTCGTTCTATTTTCATTATTAGGATACGACGTAGAAAAATTACATATGATACAGAATAACGAGAAAGATCAATCTGTAGAACGTAATAGTCCTATGGTGCTACCCAAAAAGCAGAAAACGAACAATTGTGGATCCATGGATGACTGGCTGTACATAATGAATTCGAGTGAATATAAAAATTCTCAAAGTTTTATCTCGAATGTATTGAAGATTCAAAGAGCGTCCAATTTTCTTTCCGTGACGATTCAAAATGCTGCAGAATCAAATAACATTGGCAAAATAAACGTGCAAGCCGCTCTCTTTCCGCATTTTCCACTGATTTTGTTTTCTCTTCACCTCTTGTACGAAGAATTGAAGTTAAATAGCGTGATATCGGAGAGTCTGCCGCTACTTGGACAGTTATTGTATCAACTGAGTATAGATTTAAAGTTTGAAATATATACTCACCACTATTTCCTTGACTTCCCTTCGTTGTTCTATTTGAAAACCGTGAAGTCTCAAATTAGCGAGTCAGACCTGCAGAAAATAACAATTCCGAATTACATACCTCAAAAACCACCGGACATATTTGAGACATTGGACAATATTCTGAATGGAATAGATACAACTACATTCCCACACTTGAGTCACGTTAATATCAGAACGAGAAATATAATATACTTAACAGCACTGATGGCAAATGAAAATTGTATTAATATGATAGAAATGGAAAAGTATGTCAAATTAATCATACCTGCTGGAAGTCGCGTTGATCTTCAAGAAAGTGTCAACAAGTTCGACAAGGAGATATTTAAAAAATTGGAAAAGCCCACAACAGATAGGATAATATTGCTGTACCATGAAATGGGTAAAAATCTCTTTCTCCTTCTACATGTACTTCAAGATTTTATTCTCAAAAATATTAAACATTTCAATTTTAGATATGAAGAAAGAAGATCTCAAGATATTACCGCCTGCGATATCCTTGATGATAAAAGACATTATGCACAGATGTAGAGAATGTCCACCACCGAATTGGCCTATGCGTGCGTATGAGCTCATAGATCGCCAAGATTTAGCTGCATTGCATAAACATTTGGAACCATCATCGAAATTGCAATATGACGGTGAAACAAAGGACTATGGAATAAAGGATGAACAGGATGACGGAATGGAATTTGATGACACGGTATATGCGATTTTTTTTATATTTTCTCTCTTAACGCGTACAATTTCGTGTTTATTTTATATTTACATTTTGTATTTGTAGATATTAAAATTACGATTCAGTAAGGATCACAGGGTTGCCGAAGTGCGAAGATTATTTAATTCTTCAAAACCAGTGAGGATAGCGATAGTTCAAAGGTCAAATGTAAGCGATCACGAATTTATAGAGGAGCAGGAAAGACATTTGCACACATTGTGCACGAGAACAATGGCACTACCCGTCGCTAGAGGCATGTTTACGCTGAGAACTTCTACGCCGATGATAACGGAGCAATTGCCCATTCCACGGTTGTGTTTAACCGGTACGATTATTATTTCTCTTTTCTTGTGTTGGACTAATTGTTTCATTACTGTCCATAATTATGTAGATTAATTAGAATGAACTGCACCTTTCAAATATAAGCAGACGATATGGTAGAATATTTTATTGCAAAAAAACTATAAGCGTAAGAAAATAAATCAACGTTGTTTTAGATTTCACGATTTTAATTAATATTCTAATTGATTAATTATTTTAATTATTTAACATGCTTTTATCAGGCAAGGCGCCACCCCGTGGAACCACTGTGGAGTTAACTCACATAGATGTTCCACCAAACATGAATTTATGGCCATTATTTCATAACGGCGTGGCTGCAGGCCTGTGTATTCATCCAGACGCGGACATTGATTCGACATGGATAGTGTACAATAAACAGCAGCAGGGTGAATATGGGGTGGAGCACTCGGGATTTTTAATGGCTCTTGGCTTGAACGGCCATTTAAAAAGCTTAGCTCCCTTAAGTATATATGAATATTTGGCTGACTGTCATGAGGCCACCAGTGTGGGACTTTTGTTGGGCTTATCAGCGACACATCGTGGCACGATGAATGTATCTATGACAAAGTTATTGTCGTTGCATGTAGAAACGCTTCTGCCACCAACGAGTATCGAGTTAAATGTACAACAGAATATCCAAGTAGCGGCGCTAATGGGGGTTGGCCTTGTGTACCAAGGGACTGCTCACAGACACATTTCACATGCTTTATTATCTGAAATCGGTAATTCCCGTGATACATTGTTCTAATAGACATAACGAGTATGCATTTGTTAAAATATGAAATGCACATTATGTATTATTTAATATAATATTATCTTTCTAGGTAGACCACCGGGACCTGAAATGAAGAACTGTGTGGATCGTGAATCATATTCTTTGGCAGCAGGCTTGGCATTAGGTTTGATCATACTTGGCGCTGGTAACGGAACAGACTTACCCGAAAGCATACCTGACACTTTGCATTATTACATGGTCGGTGGACACACAAGACCCTTTTCCGGGGCACAGAAAGATAAATACAAGTCACCCAGGTATAATAAAATTTGTATAATGTCTCTTTTTATTTATACGAATGTTTGCGAGAAAATCCACTGTAATATTCAGATTGTACCAAAAGTGATACTTAAATTGTATTTTTCTTATTTTGTAGCTATCAAATACGTGAAGGTGACTCGATAAATATCGATATAACGAGTCCTGGAGCAACGATAGCTTTAGGCTTAATGTACTTTAATACAGGAAACCGCGCGGTAGCCGAGTGGATGCAGCCTCCCGACACGCAGTATTTATTAGAATTTGTAAGACCGGATTTTCTATTGTTAAGAGTGCTCGCCAAATCGCTAATTCTGTGGGAAGATATCGAACCAACGAAATCTTGGGTTTCTAGTCACGTACCTAATATCGTTTATAAATATAGATTGCAAAAACCTACGCCAGAAGTCATACAGAATGTGGATTTAGAAACTATCAAGTGAGTGAAAATTCATAATTCACTTCTCAAGACGTTTGTGCTCTTCTTCATCTAATTATCATATAATTCATTGTTACAATTTACAGTCAGGCCTATTGCAATATTATTGCCGGTGCTTGCATGGCGTTGGGATTGAGATATGCGGGCACTGCTAATAAAAATGCTTTCAAGACTTTGTATAATTACGCACAGATGTTTACAGCATTGTCACATAAGACTATAGCTGAATTGGCCGGGAAATCGACTGTTGAAACATGCCTGAACGTTGTTCTGCTTTCCACTGCAGTTGTAATGGCAGGAACCGGTAACTTGGATGTAGGTTTTGTTGCTTAACGAAAATTGTTGCAGAGAATTTATCAATGATCTATATATATTTGTATTATATATTCAGGTTATGAGAATATGCAGACACATACGCACTCGCGTAGGCCCTACAAGTGGCGTTGTTACCTATGGTTCTCATTTGGCAACACATATGGCTCTTGGTCTCCTTTTCTTGGGCGGTGGAAGATATACTCTTTCCAATAATCCAAATGCAGTGGCAGCTCTTATAATTTCACTTTTTCCAAAGTTTCCAACTCACAGCAATGACAACAGGTTTGTAACATGTGTAGATATATATAATTTTACTTGATGTCTTGTTTAAAAAAAGACAAATATGATGAGTGAAAACTATTTTTATCATAATATCATTCCTTCAAAGCAATTTTTTATATAACGAGATTGGTGAACACAATCAATCCGTTTTAAATTAATTGTAAACAATATTTTGACAGGTATCATTTACAAGCGTTGCGCCACTTGTATGTATTAGCAGCTGAACCACGTATCATCTTACCGAGAGACATAGATACTGGTCAGTATTGTTACGCGACAATACATTTAACATTTGCGTCTGACAAGGACGCCGAAGGACAAGAGAATAGTTTACAGGCGCCCTGTTTATTACCACAGTTATGTAACTTGAAAAAAATCGAGTTAAAAGATTCGAGATATTGGAACATTGTATTTGAGAAGCACCACAACTGGCAACAACTAGAAAATATGCTCGATAGACATGATTGCTTGAGCATCAAGCAAAGAGCTGGTTGTTTGTCGTACATGGAAGATCCTCAGGTAGAATATTATTTTTTATTTATTAGGAATATATTCTTTAGTACATTTCTTTTCTCGTTTTTTTCTTTAACAGTAAGTAAATACTGGCGTTGATAAGATGGATATATGATTTTATTCTATTATAGGGTTTTAGAAGCTTGGTGGCCCAAACTTTAACGACGGAAAATGTAATTGCGTGGGCCGCGCGACCAGAATATGTCACATCGTTCACAAATGATAAAACTGTGTTAAACATAGTAACATATTTTTTACAATGGTTTAAAAAAGAAATTATTTGTTCTGAAAATACCAAGTATTCATTGCAAAACGGTATGATTCAATTATATTTTTTTAATATAAATATTAAATGTAATAAATTACATTAACGACATTTTTATCGAATGATACTATTATAAATTTACAGATGTGCAATGCAAAATGCCAGAATCTGAGCGGTATTTTCTTCACATATTTGCAATCATTGTATATGAATGTATAATAAAAGATAAAGTAAGTTTAATACCATTATGGTTGCATATAATTAAAAGTCTGAAAATTATCGAAGAGCAACCAAACAGCTTTTCAATATGGCAAATAAGGCTCCTTTCATCACACATGAGAAGAATGAACTCCATCGACAACGCAAATCTATTACTCAGTATGGAGAGTATGCTTGCAATTAAACAGAAAACAATAGTTATCCTGGATAAATGGGAGCATGGTAATTATTAACGCATTTTATTGTAATTGTTGATTTTATTGTACATATTCTTTTTTCCATTTTCTAGATATGAAATCTTTACTTAAACAATATCTCATTAATGGAATGGTACAGGCTGATACTATATCTTTAGCTAAGATGTGCGCTTATTTTATATTTTACGGTATTCCATATCCACTTGGTGATAAAGCGAACTGTAAGTATCCAAAAGTAAATAACTATTTATTGTACTTGATAAGAACATTGTTTCACTTTTTACGCTTATTTTTAGTGAGTTTGACACAATACTCTTCTAACATACCAAGTATTACATTGTACAAATTGCGCCAGATCTTACAACCAACTTGAAAATAAGATAGAAGATCTTACAATATATGTATATCATCGAACATTGGAGATTGTTGGAGATGTGTTTTTAAATCCATCTATTCATAAAATTAATCTGTAAGTACTTTGAATAGAAACTTTAGTATAATTACGAAAATTACAGTAATATAATTGTAGTCTTATTAAACTTTTATTGAAATTATCAAAGCATTCGTAATATCACAGTATTCATCATATGAAAATAAATTTATTATATTACGATTTTTTTATAAAATTTTAATATCATGTAAGTAACGTACTCTAAAAATTTCATCTAGAAAATAAATTTCGCCTTCTATAAAATTGTTCTTCATGTATAATAGGAATACCAGTTATGGTGTGTATCATGTTATCAATCATTTCTCCAAAACACGTATAAGAATATAAACATCCAATTAAAATGCCACCTAAATGCCCCATGAAAGAAGAATTTGGTACTAATAGATGTATTAATATCAGTTCAACCCACACAGCGAGTTTACTTGGTACTTGAAACCCATTAATATTGTGCAATCTATCATGTTCCTCACATATCACAATAACTTTTAATGCAAATAATGTTGCGGAGAAGCCAATAGCACAAGTTGTAAAATATTGATAATCCCCTGTTATTTGCATCAGCGCATATCCTAAACATCCATACATGGCGCTACAACCAAATGACAATATCACAAGCAAAAGTACAAAGTTCGGTGTTTTATAAATGGGTTCTAAGTAGGAGCCTTTCAGAATGAACGAAATCATGTTATAATATAAATGCATGTCGGATCCATGTTCAAAATTTGAAAGTAAAAAAGATCGCCAATCTTTGTACTTAAATATCTTTGCAGCCGATATACACACATCTTCTGCATTCCATGGTACTTGTATCATCCCAGTGTACAGCAAAGTCTAAAAAAAAACAAATAATATTATGAAATACTCTGTGCGGATATATCAATCAATTCCTCATAAAATTGCAAATTTTAACGCAATTTATGAAGAATCAGTTCTTTTATGATGTATCACTAACTTTTCATTTAAAATATAGTTAAACATTACCTGTATAATAACTCCAATTAAAGTAGCAGGTGGTATTTTATCAATTCCAAATTTTACAACTTGTGTAAGTAACAAAAATATTCCATATTGCAGGCCTGTCTGCCGTCTTTGTCCAGGTCTCATATTGATGTAGAAAATGATACTGTTATTCAATAATCGATTTTAAAATGTCAAAATTCAATGCAATCCTCATATTTGCTCTATCATGCCTCGAAATTCTCTGGCAAGTTGATCTGTAAATATTTGACAAATATTGTAAAGAATTAAACGAAAAGTTAGAAAATGACATAGCTTACACAATATTAATTATCTAATAAAATTAATTTCAAATTTTTGAACAATTGTTATGATGCAATGTGTACAAGAGTGATATGTGATTCTGTGTTCCGAAACTTATCAGAACAAAACATTATGGTGGATTTACATTATTTCTTATGTCCAAAATATTAATATCAAATAGAGAAACGTGCTTTCTATGAATTTTCTTTAATACCATATTTGTCTGTAGAAAATAAATTTTCTTATTGGATGTTAATAATGTACGTTGGATAACTAACGCAGTATGAATCTTCCATAAGAACTTTTCTGACGCAAATGTATATATACATATATATGATGGTCGCATAATGGAGTTTGTCCCTTTATCTGAAGAGACTGTGTGTGTACACATTTATTTTTAAAACTATAAGCATTTATTAAACTTATAATACAATTGGTTTCTTATCACAGATAAGATAGCTAATCTTTTAAGAAGATTATGTGTGATAAGTGCATCTGATACATAACGTGATTCTGAACACTTCAATTTCATATATACGCGATAGAAGACCTTGTATTATTTTGTTGTGATAGATGTGTTATTAGTAATCAAAAAGTTGTCGAAAAATATATTTGAAGGTAAGGAACAAATTTTGTTATGCGTAAATGTTAACATCGTTGTTGAACAGAAATTAATGTTATATGTTTTGTAACGCAAGATGGTAAAGAAAAATGGACTTTGGAAGCTGACACAGCTTCGAGCATTGATGAAAAATGTACAAGCTAGTGGTATGAAAGAAAAGGGAATCCAAGCTTTGATTGTTAATGGAGAGGATGCGCATCAATCAGAATATTCCACTGAACGAGATCAGAGGCGGCGTTTTATCAGCGGATTCCGTGGTTCCTACGGCACAGTAGTTGTTATGCATGATGCAGCATTGCTATGGACAGATGGAAGATACTACACTCAAGCTATGTCAGAATTAGATCCACCAGAAGCATGGACTTTAATGAGAGAAGGCTTGTTGGACACACCTACTATCCCTGTATGGTTGGCTGCAAATTTACCTCCAAAATCTGTAGTTGGAGCAGATGCTAATTTGATAAGTTATACAGAATGGGCACGATTACATACTAGTTTGACCGCTGCCGGTCATTGTTTGATTCCTCTTTCTGAAAACTTGGTGGACAAAGTATGGGCTGATGAACAACCAGGCCCTCCTACAACCAATTTCATAAAAGATCAAGGATTGAAATATTCAGGCTTAAGTGCGGGAAGTAAAATAAACTTCTGTCGTGGAGTTATGCGTGAGAATAATGCAACAGTACTTGTGATAACTGCACTAGATGAGATTGCGTATCTGCTAAATTGGAGAGGATCCGATATACCTTTTAATCCCGTCTTCTTTGCATATGTTATTCTTACTTTGAAAGATATACATATCTTCATAGATTATTTTAGAATCAGTCAGCCAGCCCTAGACCAACTGAAGAAAGAAGGTGTTGATGCAACCTTCCACCCTTATGAATACCCTTATAATGTACATGTTTACATGAAACAACTCGTGAGTTCGTGTACGGATCAAGATAAAATCTGGATTAGTAATAAATCTAGTTACGCATTGCACATGGATTGTGGAGAAATCAAGAAGCATACGGAAATTACTCCTATCAGTGTTATGAAATCGATAAAGAACTCTATTGAGATAGAAGGTATGAAAGCTGCGCATATAAGAGATTCTGTTGCTCTTGTAAAATATTTTGCGTGGTTAGAAGATAAGATAAAAAATACAAAGGAGAGTATTACAGAAATCTCAGGTGCCACGCAACTGGAAAAATTCAGACGGTAAGTCAATTTATAAAGTAATATTTTTTTATCATATAAAATATAAACAATTTGTATAAAAAAATTTTTTTTTTTTAATCAGGGAGCAACATCTTTTTGTTGGATTAAGTTTTACCACTATATCATCTGTTGGTCCTCATGGAGCAATTATTCATTATTCTCCTACGGCAGAAACTGATGTGCCCATTACAGATAAAGAACTTTATCTTTGTGATTCTGGTGCACAGTATATAGATGGTACGACAGATGTAACAAGGACTTTACATTTTGGCGAACCTACAAGTTTTGAACGTGAATGTTTCACAAGAGTGTTTAAGGGACAGTGCCGTCTTTCGACAATGATATTCCCTTTAAAGACGAAAGGGAATTATCTCGACACATTAGCGCGTGAAAGTTTATGGAATGTTGGGTATATATACATTTTTTACGGCAGTATATGAACAAAAAAGAGGAATTATATAATAAGGAAAAAATATAATTTGTCTTATATTTAATCAAGTTAATTTTGCAGGCTTGATTATCTTCACGGTACTGGTCATGGAGTAGGATCGTATCTGAATGTTCATGAAGAGCCCATTGGTATCTCGTGGAAGCCACATCCAGATGATCCAGGTTTACAACCTGGAATGTTTTTATCGAATGGTATGATTAAAGTGATATATTAAATTAGACAAAACTATCTTTATATAGTTAAAAAAATATATCTATATCTATATCTATATCTATATCTATATCTATATCTATATCTATATCTTTATCTATAATCTACATCTATCTAATTACATATTTATGTATAAAATTATATTTATGTTTGAAAACAGAGCCAGGATATTACGAAGATGGAAAATTTGGTATTAGGTTGGAAAACATTGAGTTGGTTGTTCCTGCAAAGACACCGTATAATCATAGAAATCGAGGTTTTTTGACTTTTGAAACCGTGACACTTGTACCTATTCAAACAAATCTACTTGATTTATCAATGCTTACAGATAAGGAGGTATATATTCTTATATATTTCTGATTTTATTTAAATGTTTTATTTTCTTATACTTGTAAATATATTTGTTTCAGATTGAATATTTAAACAATTATCATGCCAAATGTTTGAAGACTTTGAAACCTTTTCTAGAAGGACCTGAGAATGTTCAAGCACTTAAGTGGCTTGAGAAACAAACACTTCCTGTTTTTGGTTAATGGCGTTTTTATATGGCGTTAATTTAACACGTTGAAAGGATTGCAGTAAAATTAGGTATTGTAGAAGGATTATTTTAAAAAATTTTGAATGTGCATTTTTTTTATCTATAAAAATTTACTTGACAAATATATATATTATATATATAATATATTTTATATATATAATATATTTTATATATGATATATATAAAAAAATTATCTGATCTATGGTATAATTAATATTAACAAACATTTAACTGGTATTAAGTATAATTTATGTACATGGCAATATAATGCTGTTATTTACATGCAGTCATATGTTGATTGCACATTCAACGTGTTAAATAAATTAACTATTATATAGATTATTCATATCTTTATAATACAAAAATGTTATTTTAACAACAAAATTTTTGTGATTAAAAATCTGAAATAATATAAGAGAGAGAGAGAGAGAGAGAGAGAGAACTTATTGCCACATAATTTTATCCGTTTATTAAAACTATGAGATGTTGCATATTTCTTGCAATTCTTTCTCATTCTTATTTTTATTTTCGATATTTTGGATAAAGTTATCGAATAAAATAATAGAACTACAGTTATACTACGATAGATAATTCCATTAATTTATTCCATGATAAATTGTTTTTAATTTATATATAGCTACTATGCTATGTATCATATACTATATTTTAATTCGTTAAACAATAATGTTAAATAAATGCATCCTTAAGAAATAAAATCGCGAAAAATTTGCTTTTTTTAATTAAATAGCTACAAAATATATAATTTTGTATGTAGCGGCCAAATATTTGCGTGAAACTTTAGTGGATTTAGCAGTACTATTGGCAGCACTGCGTGACCCGCGTGAATTGGCCGCGCGACTTTCAACTTTTCTCTTCCGCCATTACGAGATAAAGTAACTCCATGTTTCTTGCGTTCTTCTTTTGTCATAATGTGATAATATGCATATCAAAAGAATTATTAATGTCGGGAGTGCCGTAATGTGATGCAACATGTATCGGCAGTGTCGTGTAAAGTATCGTGCGATCATCGATATGATATATAAAAGATACGTCACTTATTTAACATTATCGTGCTGCTCAAAATGTCGTGTCATTGCTGTGATGTGTTACAATACGTGTCGGGAGTGTGCTTAATGTTTTTAATCGGGAGTGCCTTGCAAAGTGTTGCGCGATCGTCTTATTCCGGTGATTAATGTGCGCGCAATCGTAATTATCGCGAATGCTCTGAGCAAGCAACGCGTTGGCCGCGAAAAAGGAAGGTGTCTCGGTGGAGTTAAAGGAGGAAGGGGTAGAAAGCGTTGGCAGAACAAGCGTTACGCAGGGTATTAATTCTTTATTTATTTATCGTTTGTTATTTGCGACATATTAATTGCTTATTTGTATGATATTTTATATTATATATGATATTTTATATCATTGCACAATGCATATTTATAAATATAATAATTATTTTTTAAATATTTATTTTTTTGGTTATTTTAATTTGAATTTATTTACGTTTTGCAGATTAGTGCTGTGAAATATTTCGCTGCTGCTTGTCGTGTGTGGGTAAGTTAATAAGACTTATTTTAATTTTGTATTGTTTTGTTCTATTGTTGATAATATCATTAATATCATTATTGATAATATTGATAAAGCATATTATGTAATTAATGCATACCTGAGTGCCATGCATTAGAATGATTACTATTATATGTATATAATACAAATAGGGTTATATTTGTAATTATACTTTATTTTACTTTTTTATACGATTATGTAAGTTTAATTGAAAATTCCAAGAAGGAAGAAAAGAGAAAGAATTGCAGTAAATATGCAGTATTTCATAATTTTAAAAACAGATGTCAAATTGGGTGTCATAATCAGCTCTTATATATATAATTTATATGAATAATATGAATAATTTTTCTATGAGAACTGATATAGTAGTGAGATGATATAGTAGTAAAACTACTTAATCTATGCAATTAATATCTGTTGTATTATATATATCATAATCATTCATAATATAGCATTAATTATATAACTATCTTTATCTATTTTAATATAATTAAAACAAAATAAGGGTTTCTTGCGAAATAATAGCTTGCAAGCTCGTCTAGACTATGATAGAGAAAATAGTTATCAGGAGAGTAGGATGGTTTCATGGAGTTCTACATGATAAAATGCATTTTGCACGGATTTCTTAGTTATTGTCATTATAGATTGAATAAAATGATTTAAATAAGATGGCTTCTGGCTTTTGTAAGTCTGATCGAAAGAATTTGTTGTGATAAAATATTTACAGAAAGTTTGTATAATGCAATAAAAATAAAGGAGAAATACTGTATTCAGTGTTGTATTATGTGTCTTTAATATCTTTAGAAAAACGTATCAAAATTGTGCGCGTTTGGCAAAGAATAAAAATATTTTACATCATTATTGAAAGTGGAAATTATATTAAATAGACTCAACTGTTGTTAAACATTAAGTAACGTATGTTAAATAAGCTTTATACACTATTCTCCATAAGTGTTACATATAAATATTGCAATAATATGCAATACTCAAAGAATGACGCGCAAAATTTAATTAATATTTAACACAGCTTACTTGACATTTAACATTTCAATATTGAAATGATTTAAATCTCAGTAAGAACTCAATGAAATCATCCTGCTCTCCTATAAATATTCCATACGGCGTGTAAACTCGCGTCAATCGATTACCAGGAGAGAGAGCTTGCAACGCCAGCTTGTCACACTGCTGCCGTAACAATAATCGAAGTACGTAATTCCGAAAATAGCGTCAGCGAGAGCGCGTGAATGCTATTTCAAGTTACGTGTCAAAACACACCACGATACACGGATGCGTTATCGGGGATGTGTTCCAGCGTAGCGCGTCGGATCGAAAGGTGAGCCGCCGTGTCTCAAGTTCGCTTCTATGTATAGATTTATATTCCTGCGTATGTATCTCCAATGTCAGGGAGGTGCAAGCAGGGTCGGCAGGACGCTCTCCCCGAGTGTCATCTCGACGACGGTCAAGGGCAGTGGCGTCGCGTGACGTCACGCGACGCTGCAGTGACGCAATCAGTCGTCAAGGGCAACCCGCACGATATGGTCGCCTTGGCAACCCCTTTTCGCTACTCCCCGCTATTTCCTCCCACCCTTATCCCACTTCATATCGCAGCCCACCGCAGCACACTCTCTATCGCGTACACGTGCCGCTCAATGAACTCTCCCCCCGGTCTCTTCCTCCCGCCCGTATTCGTGTGGCACCGTCGTCGCTACTCTTCCATTCTGACGTGACCCTAACCCCTAGCAGGGCCTTTCGCGGATGCTGCAGCGCAGTGGAGCAACAACGTAGCGCACCCTGGTCCGTTGTGCATCTCGCCCATGCTCCCTCACAGTTTTCATTCTAACCATTTCGATACGCTTTAAATCTGAAAAATATCACGAGCAATAAATGTCACGCTGCCTGTGAAATCCTGCAAAAATTATTCCTCGTTGTTGTCTCAAGATAGAGATATAAGTCACTTATATTGTCGCATAAAAATAGAACTTTAAAAATAGAATTTTTTAAATTATATTTTGAAGTGGAAACACGCGGTGGCGAATTATTTAACGAAGTCCAACAGGAAAAAATGGGGTTGCAAAATTATTTATAGTTGCTATTATTATCTTTGATTTATTAATTATATGTTCTATAAATTCGGTTTATATAATGAGAGTAATTTTTAAGTTTTGTTTGTAGCTCTTTACAACATCGTGTTTTTTTCCAAAACATCTCTCTTTCTCTCTCTTATGAAAAAAAAATTAATTAAAATATTTGAATTAAATAAACGAAATGTAATCACATAAACATAGATGGAATGAAAATGATGATAAAAAGGATGCTGTCCCACCTCAGGACAGATATTTATTAAGATAAAGGAGAAGAAAACACACGATGTTGTGGGAGAAGCGAACGAAAGGGAGGCAAAACACAGAAAGAAAAAAAAAATCCTCGGAGGGATTTCTCGCGGTGAGAGAAGCAGAAGGTATCGCGAAGTGCAGAGGAGGTTTCGTCTCACTCTCTCGGTCCTATTTATAGACATGCTCTCAGCTTCACTCGTGCCCACTGCTCGCGCACTGTCTTTCTTATATAGGTATCTGTATACCTATATATAGTGACTGTATCGCGCGTTCTCTACGCGCGAGTTACCGTGCTGACCGAAACTGTGCGAAATATTTGAGAGATCGATCGTGTCAAACGCATCGCGAAACACTCATCTATATTACAATAGTTGCGGCAAATGCAACGCGTAAATTTTCGCCGCGAAGATGCTTTTATACAAATGTGGATGAAACATATGAATTTTCTCGCTTCTTGGACGATACGACTTCAGCTTTGCGATTAAATTTATTTTATTAAATCATATAAATTTTTATTGAATTTTTATCTGAAAAGACCCTTGACATTTTTCTAATAGAATAATATTACAATAGATATATTCTGTAAATTTTGATGAAATATTTATTCAGAAATAAATAGGGAAATTACATTCAGAATTTATTTTTTTTTTACAAAAAATGTCTCACTGAAATTATCAATATATTATTATTTTAGCTTTTTATAATTAAAATGATTATTTGAGTTAGAAATGTTTAGCTGAAAAGAGGCTAATTTTTCATCAGCGGTTTAAATTGAAAGCATAAAATTGTACAAATAATGTCTTTATTTAATATCTTATAATTGGATGAAAATTTTAATTTAAACATTTTAGAATTTTTATTTGGGGTTTATTCATCTTAATACTATCGGAATGCTTATGACTATTTGTGAGCTAGTGCTTCTAAAGCTAAATTTCTATACATTTTGTGTTTTTGTTAAATTGCACTAAAGAAGGAATTTTCGAAACGTAAATCAATATTGGTGTACTCTCTGATCAATTAAGAAAATTGATTCTTTTCTACTAAAATAATGAAATATTAGCAATTATTGTTAAAGCAAGTGTAATAAAAAATGAAAAGCTTGTCACACATTAAATTTCTGAAAAGAAATAATAAATAAAATCTTATTTTACATGAAATCTTAGACAAATTTTACTAGTATTTTAATTTGAAACTTGATTATAAGTCAAATCTTTATAAAAAAAGATTGCTTCCAAATTGATCAAAGGATGCATATTCTTAAATCCTTTTTAGCAGCTCGCATACAACTTTTTGTGGAAGGATTACGATAAATAATCGAACAACTTGGCCTCGAGTCAATGTTAATTGTATTTCTGTTAATAATTGTTGCAAGATTGTTTGCGTTACCTGCTTCGCAAAGAGAAGCACATGCAGGAGAAATGATGACAATACGAATATACAGGTAGTTGAGGGCTTTTGTTACATGCATTGCACTTCGGAGCACCATATATGTATAATAATTACATATAATTTATCTAACGATAGATAATACTATTTATAAAAAAAAAGTATCTTCTTGGGAACGAGCGCTACTTTGCGTTTACAATTTATAGAAGAGTAATACGTATCATCGCGTTCGCATACACGTGTATGTACGTGTGTGTATGTGTGTGTGTGTGTGTGTGTGTGTGTGTGTGTGAGCGTGTGTGTGTAAAAAAATAGGTGTACATATGTGTATAATGGTAGATACCATGTAATTTCAGTTACTTCCGTAACGCATCGCACGCTCCAGAATAGTCATTACAATAATAAAAATAATTATTTAATTTTAACAATATATTCATTTGATATAATCATCTTGTTAATAAATAGAGCAACATATACATAACATTAACAACTGCTAAATATGTATACACGTATGAGATAATAATGCGAAATGAAGGAAAGAAAATCTGGGCAAGAGAACGACGTTAGATTTTACATACATACAGCAAGTTATATACATATGTACATGAAGTATCTCTTTCAACAACGATAATCACGTCTAATTATAATTATTTTGTGGAATTTTTTTTACAATAATGCGGAAAGGGAGGCAAGAATGACTAAGAATTGGAAGTGTTTGACGAAGACAGCCGAGATTTAGCGTGTTCGGAGCACGAAGAAAATACGGCGATAGAACGCAGATATAATGGCAATGAGAATAGCAAAAAAGCGGTCGCTGCTAAAAATCCAATATCTCGCGTACGAATTTTGCGAAATCATATATGGAGAAGTTTACGGAAAGATCGTCCAACTTCCGGCAGGGTAGCGTAGTGCAGAAACAAATTTAATAATTATCGAAATTAGATTTCTCAATATTTTTCTTTTTATCGTAATGAGGAGGGGGGACCGTTTTAGCACCTATGTATCTTCTAACGCAATGCCGTAAAATGGTTTTCAAAAATAAATAACTTTATATCGACCGTTCTTGTGTGATCCTCGGTTGAATTATATACAAATATACTTAAAAAAATATCTCTATTTCCGTGGCCGCAAGCCTTATCAACAATCTCTCGCCTCTTCTTTGTAAGATAGATCCGCCTAAAAGAATACAGCCCCATGAAAAATATGAGTTTCTTGAAAATATTGCACTCGAATTGCATGAGCTTTCAAAATTGCACTCTCATTGCACTCTCTCGACATTTAAGATGTATGCATTAAATATCGAGTCCCGCTTTGTATTGACCGTGAAGTCGATATATAATACTTTATCATATCACGAAGCATTACATCTCTCACACATAGTTATTCGTATGCAATGAGTCGCCTATTGCTCCTCCTCCCCCCCCAATCTACCCCTCTTTTTCATCTCTCCCTCTTTCCCGTATCTTCCGCTTCACTCTATATTCTCTACGATTCCCGGAAGCTGCGGATGGTATCGATTTCATGTTATACAATTGCACGAAAATGCTCTTGCGACGCTGAATGGCATCTGTGTTGGAGAATATTTCGCGAGTTTCACATTTCACGCGTATTTGAGTACAAGCTAAGACACGAAGTACACATAAAGCAGAATAATCATTTATCATTTTTGTAATGTGAGAGTGAGATTACAGTCGAATAATTAACTTCCATTCAATTTTGGTTAAACGCGAGTGTTTTGTTTCCGATTAATCGTCGTAAATGCTTCTAGTGTATGTTAAGTACTTGAATCGTTCGCTATGACGCAAGAAACATCGGTACAGAGAGTAAATTATATTCATATACATTTTATCCAACGATGAAGTCACAAAATACATGAAGTTAATCATTCTTTCGCGAGTAACGAGAACTGTAATGCTTAAACTTTTTTTTTCCTTTGATTCGCAATTTTCGAGATGAGCAAATTGTTTCATTTTTTACGTTTAGTTATTTGATAGTTAAATTAATTTTATTTTTACGATCACATGAATACGATGTCTGAAGTTCCAAGAAATTTGTCTTGCGCTATGTGTAATATGTGATTAATCCGTATTCAGTTGTGTATTAAGATAATATAAATAATTGATGGATCGACGACAAATGTAACGGATCAGTCGATGACGGTTTTAACCGTCTAAAGGTCTCCGTGGTTTTATCATCGATCATCATAAGAGATGAGGAGAGAGGGGGGATGGAGCAGTGACCGAAAAGAGAGGGAGAGAGAGAAAAAGGAAAAAAGAAAGGAGGGATGAAAGAGAAATAGAACGGGAGAGACATAGATCACAACTTGTCAGCGCGTGACAAACGCAATGAGATCTCAATGTTCGAAGAGGGATTTTCAGCATCGTTGTCGTCGTGGAATTTATTGATTGCAGGGTGACGATGACGCGTGGCTCTGAGGATGATTTCTCGGGTTAGCGTGAGACCCCTCGCGCTTCAGCCTCTGCTTGAGGTGCACTTTCGCGTGGCGTTTCTTTTCGTCGCTTCTGGCAAATTTTCGGCCGCATTGATCACAGCAGAACGGTTTCTCGCCGGTGTGCGTGCGTACGTGGGTGGTGAGGTGATCGCTGCGCGAGAATGAGCGCATGCAGATGCGACATTGGAACGGTTTCTGTCCGGTGTGGATGCGTATGTGCCGCGTGAGCTCGTCGCTTCGTGAGAACCGGCGATCGCAGCCGTCCACCGGGCAGGCGTAGGGCCGCTCGTGAACCGGCGTTTTGCTGGGTCGGTTCGGATATTTCCGCGGCTTTACAGGCACCAATCTCAGCGGCAGGGTGCTCTGCTGATAGACTTGAGATAGTATCTCGTGACCCTTTGAGGTGCTCGGATTGTATTCAGCCAGCTGGACTCCCGGAGTGCCGCCGGTGGACGATGGTGCCTGCTGTTGCTGCTGCTGCTGCTGCTGCTGCTGCTGAGCTTGCGCCTGGGTTTGCTGCGGTTGTTGCACATTGGGAGTGTAACCGGACGTGCCGGTTGGCTCCTGCTTCAGCGTTGTCTCCTGATGATGCGCGTGCGAGTGATGGTGCGGGAGAAGGCCGGGATCATAAGCTTCCTCGTGCGCCGTCAGCCAGCCCGCAGGGGTGGTGGTCGGCGTGTCATGGTAACCGGGCGGGGGCGGTTTCGAGTCCACCTGCAGCAATTCAACGGTCTCGCCGCTGTACGGGGCGGTCGAATGCAAATTGGGGTGAAGGAACGACTGACTCGTCAAGGTTAAGGTCGGCGAGGGTAGCGGAGCCCACATCTCCTGGCTCGCCGACGTCGGTTGCTGCTGCTGCTCGCTCTGCAGATTGCTCAGAGGCGAGGGCTGCGCGCAGGTTGTGGTGAAAACGCCGCGATACGTCAACGTCGGCACGTTACAGATGTTCACGCTGGTCGCCGGCACGGTGGACGTGGAGTGCGGCGACGAATATAGTATTACACCACTTTGCAACACGTTGCAGCGGTCCACTTCTTCCTGGGTTTGGTGGTGACGCGACGGCGGACTACTCGAGGGGGGTGCATTCGACGTGACCGCGTTTCGCGCATCCGGATGATGATGATGCCGATGATCTCTGCCGGCGGATGCGCCATTCTCGTCCTCTTCCGCGGCTGCCTCTTCCAGAGAGAGGTCCTCGCCCGTCAGACTGCCTGTAAATCATCAATAAGATCATCGCTTAGTCTCGATTTTCAATATATATCGCGCGCATATGCGTTACACGCTCTACATACGGCCGGAACGTATATTCGTTCCGCGAACCGACAGGAAGAACCGCGTGATACGGGGGTGACTTTATCTAGCTAACGGCTCTATCTGCTGTCTGCATCCTGTTGCTCTGTTACTTCCTCTCTCCGCTTATAATTGCTGACTGACGTTGAGAAAGTATTCGTCGAGATAATAAAACGTAAAACATAGTATCGTGCATGTTTTGTTGATGGAAAAAATAAAATTTCATTATTGATTCGACAATGTTCATATTGGAACTGTGGTTTGTGTAACGCTGGAAAATTGAGCGTGTCGAAGATGGTTGCAATTATTCACATTTTCATCGAATATAGCGCATACTTTTGCGGGAGGAAAAGTAAAAAATGTGAAAAATGTACGGAAAAACCCTGCGACAATCGCGCGAGGGTTAATACGGTACTGAGGGTGGTGGAAGTGGGGGAGCAGCTGGAAGTATGAATGAACCGACCAAGGGATAGTGGGAGGAAGAGGAGGAGGAATAGGAGGAGGAGGAAGCGGTGGTGCAGGTTGAGGAGGGTCTCTGAATGTCGGGGTCGTTGGGTATTGATCCGCGACAGGCGGGACGGGCCTTCAATATTACGTGTTTTCGCGAACAAGTGTACTAAACGTCACCAACACCTCGTGGCTCTCTCCGTCGTAGACGCGCCACGACGCATACACAGCGCGTTGTGTGCCGCTCCGAGATCGTACACGAATATCGAGAGGATGCCGAAATTTCCCGCGAATATGATACAGATTTTGAGGACCAGGCGTCAGGAAGCGCGAAGAGTTCGCAAACGTATATCGAAAGCGAAAGGCCGGCGAAAGTGAAACAGCGCGAATTCCGCAGCATCGTATTTTCATCCGCATGTAATCCTGTTAATATTCGTTCAATTACGCTGAAATATGTATCATACGCTTGTAAAGTCAACGACGCAAACAACAAACTCATGTGTATTCCCGCGTATGTAAAGCGATGCGCGTCGTTCTCTTTACATCGTCACGCTTACACTTGACAAAATATCAGAAATGCAATCGAACAACGTGAATCGTAATAATAAATGATAGACATTGGGCGCGTTAAACAGTAGCGAGAAGAAGTAAACAACACGCTCTCGCGCTTGATTCTCGTCTCTTAGGGATAGCTGAAGATCGGTAGATACCTGAGATCGGTGGCGGTTCGACAAGCGCGGAAGGGCCGAAGAAAGACGGTAGATCGCTGCTGGTGGTGACCGGTGTGTTTAGATCACCCGGCTTGTCCTTATCGTTCGTATCGTGGATGTCATTCCTGCAGTTTCTGATACATCCCTTGTCGTCTTCGTCGGGCTGTCGATGCCTCTTGCCGTCTGTGCCGTCCGTGGACGGCGACGATGCATCGGTATGCAAATGATGCTGATGATGATCGTCCAATCGATGATGATGATGATGATGATGACGGCCGTGATTGTGCTCCGGGGTGTCGGTCGGCGTGATCTGCAGCTGCATGTGCAACGGCACGCACGAAGGCAGGGAGAGTGTCGGCACTGTTTTGCCGTTGTCGGGCGAATTTGTGCAGGTCGCGTTGACGGGCGTTCCGCCGATTCCGCAGGTGACCGAATTGGTGGACGAGGAGGCCGCGTTATACGGTAAACACGCATCGAAGCTGAGCTGCACCGTCTGCAGGTTGAAGGTCGCGTGATGATGATGATGATGATGGCCCAAAGGCGGCGAGGAAAGCAGAAACGGGCTGGTGGCAGCCGCGTGCGGCTGCGAGCTCACCACCTCCATGCCGTCCATCGTCATCCTCTGCAGCGGGTCGCCTCCCTGGGCGACGACGGCGGAATCCTCGGTGCCGCACTGCGTGTCCTCGCCTGCGGTTGTATCGTTCAACGTAATTATTATGGTTAGAAAACTTTATCCTCGATCACTCCGATAATGCGATCAAGTTTCCTTCTCTCTCTCTCTCTCTCTCTCTCGCTCGCTCTCTCGCTCTCTCCCGGCGTGTCAAATAGCGCGCGTGTTAAAGCGTGTATGCGTTAATTGTCCCGCGATTTCCCAGTGAATCGTAGAATCGTCCGCGTCGTTCCGTCTCTCTCAGCTAATAGTAGGATTAGTAGCGATTAAATATGCGGTGCGCGATGACGTTCTCTCTTTCTTGCTCGATCGCGTGGCGCGCGCCCTTGATTACTCAATGGAGCTGTTCGCGCCGGTCTTGGCGATACAAAAAGATGTATCTTCCTTCCCGCCTTTTTACATCGATAGATGCCACCGGCTGCGACCGGTAACACTACGTTGCGGAACGGACCACCACCAACCACTAATAATCACCATCACCAAACACCATTTACCACCACCGAGCGCCAGGAAGTTTTTACGCGTGTAGGACCGTGCGGGCTCTCGCGTACACTCGCTCGTGTAGATTTCGCCAACCGGTCGGTTCGGTTCGGTCCGATTCAAGTACCTGGTTTTGCCGCTTCCTCGTGGACGAGGACGAGGAGAAGCTATAAATGTTCGGTTAATCGGTGACCGGTGTCCCGGCGTATGCGCTGGGTGGAAATTAACTCCTCTTCTCACCTTCCGACGGTACGAGTGCGCGCCGAGAGAAGAGCCGATGTGAATAACGCGTCGGAAAGTGAGGCCAAGTATTCGATGCGATGAGAGAAGACGTGTGTCCGACTACCATCGCAGCCGTCGCAGCCGTCGCAGCCGCCCGCCGTTGTCGCGCGTCAGGGTCCACGCGTGCTCCGAATCTGTGCGCGAGTGAGAGCAAAATACAGTGTGCGATCCGGAGAGCGTGTGCGTAGGCGCACGAGCGAGCACACACGCGCGAGGCCGCGCGCGTTACGTTGCGTCGGCAACTCTCTCTCTCTCCCCGTCTCTCTTTTTCTCTCTCTCTCGCTTTCTCCCTCTCTTTCTCTCTATCCATCCATTTATCTTTCCTCCACTCCGTCTCTCTTTCTCTCTTTACACGCGGATTTTCTTCGTTAGGTGTGCGCTCGGTTGAGAGTGTATTAGCTCGTGTGCACAGAGCGATTGTTAAAAGGACGCGCGATGCGTGGGGGTCGCGCACGGACTGAGCTGAGCGGCGGCGCGCCCCGTAGTTTTATGAATGGACCGCCGAGACTGTCCCATATTTGGAAGCGCCGAGTCGACCGCCAGCCAATCCCCGCCTGGCCGGACCACTGTCTACGCACGCGTGTGTGAGCCATACGTCTTCATACGTATGCGCGCGTATTTATACATGCCAGCGTATATACGTATATTCGGAGAGATAGATGCATATATATATACATGTCTAAATACACGTAATGCAAATTCTATATGAGTATATATTATGTATGTACACATGTATTATATGTGTACATACATATTATATATTTATATATATACATGTGTGTGTGTGTGTGTGTGTGTATATGCATATAGATCTGAACGATCCCCGACTGCTTGCTTCTCGCGCCGTCGTAGTTGCCAGCCAGCGCTTACGGACGTATCCATCCCCACCTGATCGCCCTTCGCGCGCCGCCACCTTCCCCTATCTTCCTCCGCGATACTAGTGTATCCCACCATAGTACATCCCACCTCCTCGGTTTCTCGCAACCCCGTTCACTGACGTGACGTAGGCGCCGTGACGTAGACCCGAGGCGCACGACTTGTCCCCCACGAGGTACTTTCGAGAACGCGCGAGCACGCGAACGGTGGACGACAGAAGGAGACGGAGAAAAAGCCGTGAGATCTAGCGTAAGAGCGGAAAAAGGAACGAAAGATAGCGGCCGATCGGCCCCACGGTATTGTTGCGGCAATTGTCGCCGATGGGTGTCGAACTCGGCCGCCTATGATCTTTTAAGGCAATAGGAATAACCGTTTAATTAACGAGGGAAAATCACAGTGTTGCGCGGCATTGTACAATGTTTGCGGTATTAGCTGTACGCAGCCGCGAATTAAAACGTTAGTTAACGTTCGATCGTTATTTCTGTTGCGATGCTCGTTTGCTCTGTAGCGCATTATTAGCAGCTCGTACGTAATCGAACAAATATGATATTCGATATGAAGTGGATTACCTTTTAATACCGGCGATTTTATGCACAAAGCCCTGGAGAAAACCAATTCCCTTATGGCGGAGCGCAAATTGCAGCCTTATTGCGCCACATCGGTAATTAATCCGCCGAAAAGGCGCACGAATTTCTACATAATGAAATTCCGCAGATTGCGTATCGCATATCGCATGACGCGGGGAACGATCGATCGCGGTGCAAGAGACTTGTTTCTCATCCCCGCGCTATTATTGGATCCATTACAACAAGCGCGAGAGTGACAAGTTTTTCGTTCGGCTAATCGTATGTATAAATAGGTCCGCGAGGAGAAAGTAATTTTATCCCGACGGTGGTTTCTAACATCTGTAAGTGCGCGCGGGCGCGCGTGTCTGCCGTACGAGGCAGACCGCGTTCTCTGAAGGAGGGTAAGAGACGACGCGTGCCATTTGTGCGGACGCGTGCGTGCGCCCGGTTAAGCAGTCACGTATATACGCGCACGCGCTTACGATCTTTTTCTCGCGGGCGTCTCTCGCAACCACCTGATGCCCTATTTGGCACCACGCGCTGCCACGCGCCCATACCCCCTCTCCCTCCTCTCTTTCTTACATCTCGTCGTTTTACTCTTGGTATTTCAGACCCCCGTGCCCCGTTTGCCTATCCTTTTTGCATTTCTCGTTCGTTCTTTGTCTCCCCGTTACGGTCTTTTTGCACTTTTTAAGTGATTTCGACGAAGGAAAGGCGTTATTGCAGTCAATGTTGAAATAACGAAGCTTCATACAGGATTGCTCTTTGCTCGATAATTACGTGAGATCAATAAGTGACGACAAAAGCAATATATTCCCTAATATATATGCACATTGAGTTACAAGCCTTTGTATTTGATATTTTATTTTCCTCCATATATATTCATGACTTTTCGAGCAAATTAAAAGATATTTTTAGTATATCGATAGATTAACGAAAATATTGCCAAATAGGCTTAAAACACAGGCAGGGCTTGATCACAATTTTGGCAAACGAATTTTTAATTTACGCGTTAATCGAACTGCGCTTTGCCCGACAAAAATAGACAGATTTATTTGAAAAGTCTGAAATCACTTATTGCGCAATTCAATACACCAGAAAATAGATGGATAGTAAACAATTTATTGTGTTTATATTTACAGAATTATATTTATTCAAAGTTTAAAGCAAAATTGTGTTTCCGTATTACCCAACAATGATTGGGATTGATTTCTCAAAAGCGCGTATGAAACTGTAGTTTGATTAATTTAATCCGATCACGTTATCGTTCTAATAACAAAATCTGGTCTATCTGATTGATTTCGCGTGAAACCAATACACGAATACGAGAGCAAAGAGATAGTGACGCACGCCGCGGCGACGTTCATCTGACACAACAAAATGTTCTAAAATTACAAGCGACTCTTGACGAGGTGGTGGGCGCGCACTATTCGTGTCCCTAATCGACGCGATTTTGCGCGGGCGAACCGCGCTATTTCAGGCCGCCACGCAACCACCTGAGCCACCCAGCATCCCCAAATACCCGGGATGACTACTGCGGCGAGCGTCAAATACTTTCCTATGTTGTGCCGATGAGTCAGTTAGTCGATGACACAAGATTTTTGGCAGCATATTCGTCGTGCGTCGTCTTACGCTTATTATTCCCCCGTCATCCTTGACGCCAACCGCGCTTCATACCGTTACAAGTTATTCCTATTTAGTCTCCTCCTTTTCTATTGAAGTAATATTCTAGATTTTAGCATGATTGCAGTTTGATCGTCGAAACTAAAAAAATTGATTGATTTCGAAGAAATGGACAGTAAAAAATATCCTGCAAAAAAAGCGCATATTTAATCGAAGCGTTCTATATTTCTCACACTTTGTGCCGCTTTATGCGAAGTAGTCGCTGCAGGCGATGCGTTTTACTTCGCTCCTGTACTGACATGAGCCGATCGTTGCTATTACGTACTTCGACGCGACGCGAGTGGTGAGTCACGGCGACTCGCGACGAGCGAGGCTTTCGCACGTTTTTGCGCGACTCGTTACCGAGATCGTTGATTAATGATCGTTTCCGGTAGGTACGAGCATTTACTTCGACCTTTCAAAAGCCTATACTGTTATGATGAGAGCGTTATTTCCGATTATGACAGTTGCTGCGGTGGAACAGTAAAAAAGAAAATTAATGCGATAAAATGCAATTTAATTATAAATTTTACATAAAGTTAAAGTCTCTTTAGCAACTTTTTCAGCTTGACGAATTTCAAAGTTTTAACTTTTAAAGTAATTTTAATTCATCAAAAGCCATAATTATAATATATGATACGTTATCAAAGCAGGGAACGATAATATTTTAAATTGACGAGTTGATGAGAATTTCAAGTGATAGTCAATGTCAAGGGTGATTTAAGGAAAATGAGCAAAATCGCACATAATAGTCATAAAATATTATACAATATTAGCAAAAGAATATTCATATCCGCATTGCAAATTAATCTGCGAAGATAAGCTGAGATAAGAGAACGGTAGTGAAGTGATTAAAAATAACAATGATATAGATATGGACTTTCTAAAAATGAGCACATTCGACATTTCTAAAGAGCATGTAAATTGATCGGAATGGAGGCGTAGAAAATAAATTTACTATCTAGAAGAGAACTTGCGCATTTTAACTATAATTTATATCGCACTTCCTCGTTTCTCGACCTTTTAATGCGCAATTTTGTTACAATGAGTACTTAAGCAAGAGACACACGGTTGAGACCGCGCATCACGACGCAGCATCACGGTCGTAACTGTTATTATGCTGCGAGAATAACACGTGCGAGAATTTTGATTTTTTTTTAAAGGATCTCGCACGCAGTTGCTTTCTCTAGGCATTACGCTCGCGTGTAAAAGGGGATAATTTGCCCGAGGTGGCCACTGTATGTCCGCACACTTTTTTTAAGAACTCTATTAATAATGATCGAAGCAGCGGAAAAAGATTTACCACGTGAAGAAGTTACAAAAGCATAATGCAAGCAAATATTAATAAACCGCGATAACGTCAGGACAAGGTTAAGATAAGTGGGAGAGGGAGATATTGAACTGACTAAAAATATAATTGCTTTGCCGCAATATGCCACGAATGTGGATACTTTATATAAAAATTTCTGTTAAAAATACAAAATCTAAAATAGTGTCGGTATATGATAAAATAAGAGAAAGAATAAAAGTGTATAAAATCAGGAAGTAAAAAAGATAAATATGGCAATTTTTTACGCTTTCCCGTCATTGCGCTAAGTATAATCAATATTTTCAAAGTTATTTTAGATTTAAAAAATTCTTTTAGATTACATGTATTACTTTGTTATGTATATGCATCCTATGCTAAAATAAGAATACATCCTGCCATCAATTTTCGTTATTTTTATCCAAAACAGTGAAGTGCTCTTCTATATATCCTTCATCTAAATGAACTAAATAAAATAACGAAATTCGTTCTCAGTGTTCTCATTATATTGGATTGTGTACTAAATAATTTGAGTTTTTTTAAATAAATCTGTTCATTTTTTGATCGAACAAAGCGCAGTTTGATGAACACGTAAATTAAATATTCGTTTGTCGAAGTTGTAATCAAATTCCGCTCGTATCACGGTTTTTTCAAGTTGCGTAAAAACGTGCTGTGTAAAAAAAAATAACACCATCTATTGAAAAATACATTACTTATTACAAAAACCAATATTTCGAATCAATTATTTTCATTTATTTATGACGTTGAATGTTTTATTGCAAAGCAGATTAAAGCGGACGGTTCTCTTTACATTCCATTCGCTTTCCTTCGAATGATGTAAATACCTATTTAGAGATGTGATTTTAAAAACAAAAGTAATTCATCGATTCGACGCGCGCGTTTTGTATAAAAGACGGTCGTAAGTCCAATCAGACAATCCTCCCAAGACTATTTTTGCACCGTAGCCTATCGATTTCTTTGTGATCCTCTCTTTCTCGCACACTACAGCCCCGTGTACTTGGACGTCAACGGTGGCTACGTGTAACGCGTAGTTAACCCTCTTCGTCTTCTTTCCGCTTATTGTTAGTCTTATCGGTCGATGCTGACGTAGATGCTTCATACGTCTATGTGCCATTCATAGACGATAACAACTCACCAACACGCTGCCTGCCGACGTATTTTTATCGCGATATACCGCACGTATATGTATATAAATTCGCGTGCGGTTGTGTACAAGTACACGGGGAGCAACGTGTTGCGTTTGTATACTCGATTATCGTGACGATTCCCATGCGAGGATGCTGAATATAGCACCTTCTCTATGAGTCCGCACGAATCGTTACATTACGCACGTAAGCAGGTCGATTTTTTCACCGGGCGCGTCGTCGCGGCACCCTTTGCATCTGCCGTTGACACTTGGCTTATACGGATACCCTTCTTGGACTTTGTGACATCACTGCGTATCGTAAATCGACTATAATAAAATTTTGTGTAACTATTACGAAAGGTTACGCATACCCTTATATCGAAAATAAAATGTGATTACGCGGGTATTAACATATTTTGCACTTCGGATTGTTATAATACCGACATTTTTTTAAATTTAAGAGATATTTATAAACTGCGTAAAAATAGTGTTTAATAAAACAGCGATTTCACAAGCGTTTTATGACAATTTGCATTTTTATAGTGATCGTTTATAATTTACAAGTTTCGATATTTCTTTAGGTAAAAATCGTTTAACATTAATGTCGCCTGACGTTTATTGTTAATTAAAATAAAAATTTATTAGCTGGCATTTAATATTATTATTTAATTCACATAATGTATACACTATGAGAAATGATTATGTGTGCAAAGATTACGTGAAACGTCTCATTGTACGTTTTATCGATTTATTAAATGAAAATAGCAGTCGGAATAAAAGTTGATCAGTGAATCAAGCTCAAGGCTAACGATACATTTCTTATCGATTATTCGTACGAAACTTTTACGTATAAAAAGAAGTGAGAAAGATATAAAATATAATCATATAATAGAAATATAATAACAACACAATTGCAAAGTTAATTTCTCATTTTACATATATACGATTGCGCGCACATTCAGATATCATTCGGGAGAATTAATATTTAAACATTCGTTGCTCAGAGATTAACGTTTCATTGCGTTTAAATAAAATTTCAACGGAGGTTGACGTAACTTTTATGATAAAAATTTTACTGTATTTTACGATCGATTGTCAGGCTGGTTATACGTCAGCTTTGACGTATGTGATACGGCTGGTGACGTTTCGACATATGGACGTGTTCTGTCACACGACGTAAGCATATCGAATCAGTGACATTTTAATCCATTATTTTAAGTGATTATTTGAAGCTGAATACAGCTAATTTGGTGTGTAACAATAAAATATACATGGTAAATGCTTCTTTCACAAATTATTCTATTCTTCGCGATTCTCTCTGCGCTGAAAAAAAATATTACTCCAATAGTTGTTTATAGATTGACATATTGGAAAGAATTTCGTTGTTGAGCATAATAATTTTGTAAAAATAAATGCGCGCAAATATCTCGTTTATTAAAAACTTTTATATGCAAAACTTGAAGAGAGAAAGAAGACGGAGAGTGTGAGCAGCCAGCATTATTAAAAGAACGTCAATGAGGGCCGAGTGTCTGAAGGGAAAGAGAGAGAGAGAGAGAGAGAGAGAGAGAGAGAGAGAGAGAGAGAGAGAGAGAGAGAGAGAGAGAGAGAGAGTAGTACGTACGTACGTACGTACGTACGTACGTACGTACGTACGTAGTAGTAGTAGTAGTAGAGGGAGAGAGGAAGAGAGAAAGAAAGAGAGAGAAGGTGACTTGTTCCCTTTTATCCGCCCACTGTAGGTTCGTGTATGATGTATGATTTCCTGTCTTACGAATCTGTACAATAATAACGAAATGTCAAGCGTATACATGCGATTTACTACGCGTTACCATACGAAACTACGACACTTTAGACAATGACGTATGCAAACTTACGCTTCGATCTCCGCTCGAGTATATGAATGGGAAAACATTTTTTCTACCTGCGCAGAGCGATGAGTTATGATTTTTCTATGGAAAGTCAGTCGGATCGGATTATGATTGAACTGTGTTTACGGATGGAACGTGCGAGAAAATTTGACAAAGTTTCAACGATTAACGAAATGAGACTTTTGTGTTAATTGTCGGTGTGACTGATACATACGACTAGTTGTTATAATATTTACTCGAAAGCTGACTAAAGATGATATGTAACACAAACTTGTTGCACGTGCCGGATCAGATCGGGCTGCGATCCATTCGAGCCAGCTATTATCAGTCTTTTAATCGGTTTACGTCGAAGGGAGGGCGTTTCGTTCTTTTGTACAAACTCCTAAACTAGTGACGTAGCACGCCCAATTCAACGGGACTACCGACGGTGCGTGTAATTAAGAGTTATCGTCCTTCACTATCTTTTTCTTTTTTTTTTTTGCTTATGCTCGCTAACTCTCATCGCGCATTCTTTCTTTCATCTTTTTATATTGCCTTCCACAAGTGGTGCTATCATTAGATGAAGGAGAACCTATTTATGAGATAACTATGTACTATATATTGCAATCGGTATATCCCAAAAAGATAGAAATATTTTATACAATCAATACATATCTGAGAATGTCCGCATTAATTAGTTTTAGTGTGCGTTAAATTAGAAATATTAACGCAACATTTTTTTTATTAATCTATCAATGATGGATAGATTTATATTAAGTATTAAAAAAGAGCGTTATGTATATAGAAATATCAGTCTATAATATTTTATAAATTTTTCAGATAATCAAGATTATCGAACTTGTGTTTTGATTGCGGCAACGTGAGCGTCCGGCATCCGACGGTAAGTAAAATCCCGCCATAAACCAAGTGATCGAGTATTTCGAAGTACAACATATTTAAAAGTCCATACAAGAAGCTTTTATTGTTTTAATTAATAATACAATCGCCATCACTAACAGTTTGCCATCTTGTGTGCAAATTTGCAAATCCCTCTCTTGAACAAATTCTCCCTTCTTTCAGAAGAATAATTCAATATGATTTTGGACTTTATCGATTTTTTAAAATGTCCGATAAGCGAATACTTGAAAGAACAAATCTGAACAAATAATAATCAGATAGAAATATGTCTGGAGAACAAGAAGGATCTGACGAAACTTCCTACTCCAACTGCTTTATTTTTTCTTAAGTTTTTCTCTTTGCCTTACTTTGTCATTTCGCAAAATAACGCTTTCTCTGTTGATTTATTTTTAATTGCTAAAACCTAGAAAAACGGTAACAAATAAAGATCTACTACCAACAATTAGAATGGTTACACTAGAAACTGTTAGAAAGAAGGCCAGCTTTGTAGAGTCGGTGTGAATCGGTTAGATAAATCATTCGAGAGCTTTTTGTTACGGCTTTTTTAATTGGAGAAAAAAAACGATATATTAATACAAAAAGGATTTTATATTTCGATAAGGATATCACACAACCGTTTATTTATTCGTTTACTCGCGAGGACTTTCAGACTGTTTCTCTCGCTGTCTATTATTTAAACTTTCAAACAATTACACGACTCGATCACCTTGAGTTCGATCGATGATCTGCCCGTAGTTTATCAAAATAAACACATAAACTCGTATTAAAACGAAAAACACTTCTACAGCATTATATAGAAAAAAATGTTATCCTGCAATACGATAATAAAGTCCTATGCAAAAGAAACTCAAGAAAAAATAAAACAGTTGGAATGAGAAGTTCTACTACATTCTTTTTATTCTCTGAACATAGCTTTATCTGATCAATTGTATCATATTTTGAGCGAAAATTCAATATTTTATTTTCAAAACTTTTGCATTTCAACAAGTGAGTTGTAATTTCATCATACGTAATAGTAGAAAAAAAATTCAGTAATTATGGAAAGTAAATCCTTAATATTTCTTCGAAAATAAATCCATTTAATGCTCGTTGTCCGATAAAAGCGCGATGAGAAATATTTTTCCAATATTTTTTTATACATTAAGGCATTTATAGTATTTACGTACTTGTAGCAAAGTATCTGAGCTATCTTGACAATATTGCGAATTCCAATATTGTTGTTTTAACATGGTTAATAATATAGAGAAGCTGTCAATTATACAACAGAAAAATCGTTAGTTTTCTTTAATTATTTCCTTTGTCAATATCATTATGTAAGAAATGTTGCTTTATGTAGCAATTAGTTAGAAACGTTGAAAAATTATAAACTTGATTATCAGCGGAGAATTTGGCTTGGAGAACTATTGTTACGGGTTAAGAAAATACAAGCCACAAATTACGTCCGATCTAAAATAGTAAGTGAGCGCTATTTCGTATAATTTTAACGTTTAGTTAATAATTTGTAACTGCTGCTTGTGTACTCGCATTTTATATCGAATGGACGGCTCAGAATAAAATTCGATTAATATAATTTTTGCAATTTTACGCGCTTGCAGTAATAAATTTGACGAAATAAGAAACGATACGAAAGGAAGAAAACAAGAAACGAAATGCTAATACTGAATAATTATTGTAGAAACAATTGATGTCAAGCGACGAAGCGACATCGCGACATTGAAATGCACCGTCGCCGATTCTGACGGTTGCGCAAAATACCGAGTTTTTTATTAACAAATGTTTGAACGATTTGCATCTAGATGTGTGGAATTTAATTTGGACTTGATTCTATTATTATCAACAACACGCAGAGTTTACGACGGTCTCTTACGAGCCACATTCGCGCGGTGACAAGAAACTCAATAGCTAGTCTAGAAATACAGGTTTGGCGATCTTAAAGCTCTTAAAGATTGATTATCATACATATAGTGTCGCGGAGTGTTTAAACCGGCGTTAATACCGGTAGCCGCAGGAGTCAGTACTCCTAGCTAGATAAGGAAACCGTAAAAAAAATTCAGACGGTTGTCGAGAGCGATATAAATTATATTTCACCTTCGTTCCAAGACTACGCGTGGCTCGTAAGGAAAATATCGTAGGAATCGTTAGGGAGAATAACGTCCGAGCACGCGACAGCGTAACAGCGGCGTAACAAGCGACAGGGATATTTCGTTGGCGCGCATCGCGGTCGTTCGCGACGCCGTCATCGAACCCTCCATTCGACTTCGCGATCGCGAGATCATCGGCTTTTTACCTGATGGCGGATGGTGATGATGATGGTGGTGATGGTGATATCCGAGAGCCGGCGGCGGCGGCGGGTAAACCGCTCCCCAGATGCAGGACGCGGCGGCCGCGGTCGCTTGCTGCTGATGATGATGATGGTGGTGGTGCTGCTGCTGATGCTGCTGTTGCTGCTGCAGTAGCTGCTGCACCTGGGCTATGTCCACGAACTCCTGCAGCTCACCCTCGGTCTCCGGTCTGCCGGTTTCGCGCACTCGCCCCTCGGCGGACGGCACCACCGCGAACGGATTGCCACCGCCGCCGCCGCCGCCGCCGCCGCCGCCGCTGTTGTGCTGCAGATGTTCGAACCCCGCGAGCGGATTTGCGGGCTCGTAATTGCTGCGCCCGGTCGTGTGTTCGCGGCGCATCGCAAGTGCCAGCATCTTTTCAACCTGTCCCGTCGCCGGTTGTCGTCGTCGCGGTGTCGACCCACGTGATTCGCCTCGATCGTTTCTCGCACCGTTTCGCGCGCACCGCCGCCCCGTACGTCCTCGTCGACGACGATGCTGGAGAAAACGAAGATAAGCACAGTCCGTACATGTCACGGCGTCGCTGCGACACCCCGTCCACCCGCGATCACTCGGTCATTCGTCTATTCTTGCTCGGAGATCAGTTTACGCCGCAATCTCGGAGTTTCGCGGAGAACGAAACGGTAGCACTCGAATCGAGAGTATCCGGCTCTCCGAGATCGCGAGAAGAACTCGACATGCAGATTCTTCGAAATCCGCTACTACTTCTTCGCACAATCGTTAATGCTGTGTGAATAAATTGACGAATCGGTCACGTCTGTTTTCTCGATGATATTCCGTGTTTAGCGCGAGACGGAATTTTGCCGACAGGCATCGAGCTTCCGTTAAGCAATGTTCTCCGTATCGTTCTCCAATAAGTAGAGTCGCGCGAACTCGCGCGGGAAAAGAACGTTTCCGGACGTAATCGCGAACGTGGTTGATAAACGCGACGTACCGGCACGAGTGCTGGTCGCACTGTATCACCGAAGGATACCGCTCTCTTGCTCTTCGTGTTCCTCCGGCGCATCGACCTTCCGCGCTCTCTTTGACACGTTAGTCGTGGCCCCTCCTTTTGGTCCTCTTCCTCGCGCTCCTTCGATTCCTTCCTCTCGTCCGCGAACCCTATATCGCACTATCCTTAACGCCGGTTTTTATCACGCCTCGGCTCACTCGCGTCTCTACGGTTCCGTCGATCTCGTTGATCTCGTTGATCCGATGGCCGATGGCCAATGGCGAAGCGCGGAGAGGCGAGGCCGGACGAGATGAGAGAGAAGTGAGGCGCGGCGAGACAAGACAAGACGAAGCGTAGCGAGGCAACTAAAGGGGTTCACGATGGCCCGCGCTAGACTAATAAAGCGTGGCTCGCGCGCGAAGCTGTCGGGTGTCTGGCGAGTGCGCTCGCACGTTCGCGCACGTGCACTCTCTTGGACGAAGAGAAGCAAGAGGAGAAACGCCGCGAGATCGGAGGCGGATGGCTGGTTGTCGTCGGTGTCCTCGACGCGTCGTCGTGCGGCGTCACGATCCCGCGGAGCCCCGTGGAGCGACGATGACGGGAGAGGATTTCAAGCGTCGTCACGTGTCACGTCGCGCGTCGGTATCACCCCGTGGTTAACTCCCGCTACTGTTGACGCCGATTATCTACGCGAAACGGACCCTCCTCTCCCCCCCCCCCAACCCCACCCCACCCCTCCCACCTTCGTCGGCTTCCTCTCTCGCGAGTCCTCCGCGCCCTTGTCTCGCCCCCGTTTCCTCCGCGCGGGTTCCGGGCCATTCGT